CAGAGGGGTCAGCCAAGGAGACTGGGACCGGTGCAGGAAGCGGTGTGAGCTCAGTACTGTCTCGAAAGAAGCAGCGGGAAGCACCTGAGTCAAGGGTGAAGGTGTGACAGGTCTCAGCCGGTGCAGTACCTGAGAGAGCAGTCTCTGTGGGTGCTGTACCTGAGAGAGCAGACTCGCAAGCAGCAGGGACAGTGCTGGAGGGAGCAGGTACAAGGGGGACCATACCAGAGAGAGCAGACTCACTAGTACCTAGGGCAGCGGGCCCTATACCTGGGTCAGGCGGCACACACAAGTAACAGTCTCCCTCGGCACTAACAGTCAATGCATACATGGCAGCAATAATAGCATCATAGTCAAGAGCAAAGATATCAACACCAGCCCTCATCAGCTCAGCCCAGCGAGGGCGCTCAACATCCTCGCCCATCTCCTCACGCCAAGCGTCGTCAAGGCGGAAGAAGCAGCGGTACTGAGTGTGGAACTTTCCACACGTCTGCCCCTTGCGATCACCTGTGCGAATGACATAGGAACAGCGGCCACTGCCCCCCGACGTCCCACGCTGAGCAAGCCACTCACGAAGCTGCTGGGTCGACTGGGGACGCTGCTGCTGCTGGGAGCTCTGGCCCGAGCCGGTGCCTCCACTCCGACCTCCACCGCCGCCACTACCTCCGCTCCGACCGCCACCACCGCCACCGCCACTACCGCCACCGCCGCCACTGCCGCCGCTGCCACCACCGCCACTGCTCCCGCCGCCGCCCCCGCCTCCGCCGCCGGCCCCACTCCCACCGGCACTCCCGCCACCGCTCCCTCCAGCACCGCCTCCCCCCCCACCTCCCCCACCCCCTCCCCCCCCAGCGCCACCCCCGCCACCCTTGCCCCCCTTGCCCTTGCCGGTGCGGCGCCTCCCACCAGGAGCAGAAGCAGCGCCAGCAGACTCAGCACCAAGGAAGTCAACAGCAGCAGCAGTAGCATAGGAGGGAGCGAGGGGAGAGGGAGAGCACCCCTCAAAGATGGGGGTGCGAGGAGCGCCGCGAGCAGCACCAACAGCTACAATGCTCTTCTCGGCTGCTAGCAGCTTCTCCTCTAGGAGGGCGACAGTGAGCTCAGTGGGACAGCGAGCAAGGAAATAGTCGCGCACTGAGCTGAGGGTGTCAGGGAGACGGGTGACTATGAAGTGGAGTGCCCAGTACAGGGGAGGGGGGTTCTTAGCGCAGAACTCGGTGGGAAGGGCGGCACGCAGGCGAGCATCACTAGTGCGAAGGTGGGTGATAAGATCGGCGACTGTAGCAAAGGTGGACAGGTCAGGGAACAGGTAAGGCAGCATGAGACGGCTAAGCTCGGCTGTGGCAGGTGAGGAGTAGCGAGCAACGACAGCGTCGTATAGGGCTTTAGCGGTTTTGCAGTCGCCAAAGTGCTCTAGCTCAGCTAACGGCAGGTGACTGCGAATAGCCAGGCGAGCTGCAGCGTCACGAGTCTGCCACTGTGAACGTACACTAAGCTCAGCTGTGGCAGCAGGAGCAGCGGCAGCACCAGACGCGTAGTCATAGAGGGAGATGTGGTCCGTGCTATTGCTCATAAGATACAACTGCAGGTCGTCGAGCCAGGAAGTGAACTGCACGGGACGGCCCTCAGCATCGAAGGAAAGAACGCGAATAGAGGCCATAGCTCAGGCGTGAGGGCACAGCAGAGCAGCGGCAGCAGCAGAGGGGACGCGCTAGAGCGAAGCTAGCAGCCACAGCAGGAGCAAGCGGCGGTGCACAGGCAGGGAGCAGCAGGCGAGGCGGGCGGCGCTGCAGGCGGGAAGTGCGGCGGGCGGGCTGCGAAGCGGGCAGCGGGGCGGGCGGGCGACGCGGCGAGCGGGCAGCGCGGCGGGCGGCTGCGAAGCGGGCAGCGGGCGGGCGGGCGACGCTGCAAGCGGGCAGCGGGCGGGCGGGCGACGCTGGGAGCGGGCAGCGAGCGAGCGGGCGACGCTGCGAAGCGGGCAGCGGGCGGGCGGGCGACGCTGCGAGCGGGCAGCAAGCGGGCGGGCGACGCTGCGAAGCAGGTAGCGGGCGGGCGGGCGGCGCTGCGAGCGGGCAGCGAAGCGGGCGGGCCGCGAAGCGGGCAGCGAGCGGGCGGGCGGGCTGCGAAGCGGGCAGCGGGGCGAGCGGGCTGCGAAGCGGGCAGCGGGGCGAGCGGGCGACGCTGCGAGCAGGCAGCGCGGCGGGCGAGGGGCGAGCGGGCAGCGTGGCGGGCGGGCGACGCTGCGAGCGGGCGGCTCGGCGGGCGGGCGACGCTGCGAGGGGCGCGCGAGGGCGCTAGCGAGGGGCGCGCGAGGGCGCTAGCAAGGGGCGCGCGAGGGCGCTAACGAGGGGCGCGCGAGGGCGCTAACGAGGGTGCGCGAGGGCGCTAACGAGGGGCGCGCGAGGGCGCTAACGAGGGGCGCGCGAGGGCGCTAACGAGGGCGCACGAGGGCGCTACGAGGCTAGGGCACGGGGTAGCGTGGTAACCGCATGCGAGCGGTGGTGGGCCCTAGGGACCTCCTGCTCTGATACCATCTCAGAATAACTAGGCAAGAATGAATGAACTAGCAGAAGTTTGGGTACAAATATGAAACCCTAGTTGGGGTTGTACCCCATATTGGCTACCCCACTACAGCCTACCAACATATAACACATTACAATTTAACAGTGACAACGCGCTATGGTGACTCGGCTCGCGCATCAGCCTGTGATGGTGCTGCAGTCCGAAACCAGGCACAGCTGCTGGTCGACACAGACGCTGACGCAGCCGTGGGTCTGCTGCTGCAGGGTCGCACGCAGCTGCTGGAGCATCGCGAACTATGCAGCAGCACAACGCACACCAGAAAACTGTCGCGACTACAGCAGCAGTCGCGCGACAGCAAGGGAAGTCGGGTCAGCGCTGAAAGGCGGGAAAACGCAGCGCGTCATAGGTCACATGACCGGAAAGAAGCCATGCGCCATGAAGATTTCGCTAGCAACAGCTATCCTAAGACCAAGGGAGGCAATCCGCCCTGCTGCTGGGAATCGCGCTGACCTAAACTGTCAGTTCACCGTGGAAATTGCAGCTTGAGCAGTAGCCATCGCTCTGGAGGTCCTGCATGAAACGAAAGGCTGGGAATTGAGAATGACGAGACAGCCAGACCCCTGCTGGAGAAGGGTGTAGGAGAAAGGGGGTTGTCAAAAGCGACAAACTGAAACGAGAGCTTGACAGGGAAGCGTACAGTGCACGGGAGTTTGGGAACAGGGTCGCGAGACTTGTGAGGAAAGGGAGGAACAAGGCGCAGCAGTGGAACACCTGAGGCAGAACGTTCTACAACCCGACAACGTAACCCAACTGTCAACGAGTTTCACACGTCAAGATTCGATCGCAACGGACAGATTCCCACGTAAAATTCCAACGGCGAATTTCACCGCAATCATCGCTGTGACAACAATCCAGTCCCGAAATCCACGCGTAACCCAACTCGTTCCGCAATCAACGGCTCCACAGAGTGCTCCGTTAAAATCTACAGCAAGGGGGAGTGTTGAGAAACATATGGCATAACGAAATATTTGTGCTGTTAGATTTTACTGTAGTCCTCTTTATAAGACTTCAGGGCCTACAATAATGGTACAACTATTGTAGGGCCAGAATTATTGGAGTCTAGAGTCCTTGGGGGTAGAATTATTGGTACTCCTTTATTGGAGTCACCATTATTGGTGCACCATTATTGGTGTGGATGGGTAGACTCTGGAGGGTTAGCTGCAAGGATAAATGACCTGCTATGTGATTCTATTACGGGTATCAATCAATTCCATTATTCTCATTCTGCTTTCGACCATTCTGTGCAAGTCTTCCAGCCTTGCTTTTTCTACAGTCTAGCTTCCGCAACGCCGGCATCATGCCTTTCTAGCACACGTGACATGGCAGCTGACTTCCTCACGAAGCGACTGCCACGCCAGCAGTACCAACACTGCTCCGAACTCAGCGGAGTGGTCAAGCAGGTCAAGTCGAGCTACGGCCAGGAGTGAAGGGGGGTGTTACGAATAGTAAAATATGATTGTGCACTCCTGACCGCAAGAAAACGAGGCGCACAGTATTGAGGCAAGAACAGGAAGAGTTAGAGCTGATTCGAAACGGCGCAGACAGTTGGAGCGAATTTGGACCATCGGAACAGACGGCATCGGGCAGGTGCAGGGGCAAGGAAATGGCGGGAACAGTTTTGTAACTATTTGGGGCGCACAGTCAGTTTGAGTTCGGATAAGAGAATTTACCCCATTAGAGTACATTGCTAGCTAGGTCGTTTCGTATTCCCCTGTACTATTATTTATATGTATGTATTTGCTTGTTTTAATGATCTCAACATTTTACATTCACTTTGTTTGAGATCAAGGGCCCACCATTACCAATTCCTTGACTTCACTTTCAATAATGCGGCTCTTCTGTGATTCGATCAGAGATTCTGACGCGGTTCAATTCCGCATTCCAAACAAATTTCGGTTTTGAACCGCTTTAGACCATTCCACACCATATTAAAGCATTCGAGTCAAATGAAAGACCCCACGTATGATCTGATTCAATCCCCCCATACTCGCTAGCATCCCATACCAGCGAGGCTTCGCCACACCAAGTGTTTCCAGAACGCGTTCTCTGCGACAACTTTCTCGCGATGATTACAGCCCAGAGCTTGGCGCCCATGACGGGCACGGTGCGCATCTCCAGTCACAGGGGTCCCCGCCTCGCGCATTCTGCGGGTCACACTGAAGCTGCTGTTGTATATTATGATCCGCGAGGGATTGCCCTCTTCACTATCATAACTGCATTTAGCACCAAACCTGCCGGTGCTGTAAATCTTACAACTTTCTCCGGCGCTCTTCCAGCTTTCAGTGATTAGCTGCACCATCTTCGTGCTATTTTCCAGCCAAAATATTCTCTGAGAGTCCTCTCGCGAGCCCTTCAACATCTGTACGGCCGTCACGGGCGAAGAGTCGGTCGCGCGGCACGCGGCACGCGGCAGCAGCATGGGGAAGGGCAAGCCTGCGGCAGTGCTTGCGCTGCTCGCCGTCATAGTCGTCATCGCTGGTACGGCACATTGTCTTTGTGCGCTCATTCCACCCCGTGTAACCACCTTACATGTGATCATAAGAGTCGTCATGGCCGTCACCGTTGGTACGCCGCATCATATTTTGCGCGCTCACTCGCTCATGCACCCATGTACCCATCCTCGCATCGCCATCTTGCTCGCACGTTCAAATGCACCTCACGGACAAGAGACTGAGTGCAAATCGGCGCACTGAGTGCACCTCACGCCCGCTCGCCCCTTTCTTCGCATTTCACGTGCTCCCATGGCAGGGAGTCCCCTGCGGGCGTCATCGCAGGCAGCAGACGCGGCATCGAGTAAGGCGGCGAGCGAGGATGACCAAGTGGTTGGCACGCGGATGACGATCAACGGCCGCTCTCTCACCTTCAACGCGCTCCGCTGTGCCGCCATTCCAGCTGGCGGCGGGACGAGGAGGGTGCAGGTGTCGTGGCAGCAGGAAGGCGAGGCGGATTGCAAGGCGATTCAGTTTTTCAAGAGTCCCAAGTGCACGGGGAAGGCGATGGACAGTGTCGCGCAAGGCAAGCAGAGGTGAGCCCCTCGTCCTCCATTTAACTGCTTCTCTGCTCTTAACGCCATTCCCTCATCCGCCGTTCTGACCAGCGGCCTGCTCTCATGGTTCTCCCCGTGCGCAGGTCCAAGCCCCTCCGCAAGGCAGTCAAGTCCGCCCGCTGCATCACTGGCGCCACCAGCAGCAGAGCTTCTGACCGCAACACCAAAGCTGCTGACGACAACACCAAAGCTGCTGACGGCAACACCAAAGCTGCTGACGGCAACACCAAAGCTGCTGACGGCAACACCAACGCTGCTGACAGCAACACCAAAGCTGCTGACGGCAACACCAAAGCTTCTGACCGCAACACCAAAGCTGCTGACGACAACACCAAAGCTGCTGACGGCAACACCAAAGCTGCTGACGGCAACACCAAAGCTGCTGACGGCAACACCAAAGCTGCTGACGGCAACACCAAAGCTGCTGACGGCAACACCAACGCTGCTGACGGCAACACCAAAGCTCCTTCTGAGTACCCAGACGCAGAGAGTTCAAGCAGTAAGCCCCAATGCTGTTGTTCGCCATCCCATTATTCATTCTCACCCAAATCGATTTGGTTCCCATGCAAGGGGGCTGTATTGGGGCTGGCATCGCCTGTGCCTCTGGGAAGCACCACTGCCTGATCAAAGCATTCCAGTACTGGCAGCAGCGATGCTCCTCGCCTTCTCTGCCCTTTCCTGCCCCGCAGATCCTCCAATGTTATCCTCCTTGCGACTCCTGTGCTTACCCTCCTCTGCGCCTTGTTTGTTTCACCCGCCAGCCGGCGTGTGTGGCTTCGACAGAGTCAACGGGTGCTTGGTAGGCACGTGCATCGACCGCGGCACCGAAGACTCTACCTGCGTCTGCCTTCCCAACCACCGCTCTCATGGCAGCTACTGTGGTGAGCTCTTATGGTTACAACTGTGGTGCACTGTCATGGTTACACCTGTGGTGCGCTCTTATGGTTACAACTGTCGTGTGCTCTCATGGTTACAACCGTGGCAACGCTTCAGGCTATAGTGGTTGCGAACACTTTACACGTAGAAACTCAAGCTGTGTGTTTCGTGGATCAAATCTGTTGCTGTGTTGTTGTCACCAATAGCTGGCCACGTCCACGGCATTACCACCCTTGCCGTTGAGCGTGTGCAGGTCAGGATTGGGAGGCCATTTCGTCCATCACAGTCGCGGGCAGCAACTGGAGGTGCAAGGACGTGTACACCATGTATGGCCTCACGCTGCAGCAGTTCACCGACATGAACCCGGTGAGTCCCGTGGGTCTGATTGGAGGTGCCTTGAAACCCACAGCATGTGCCAGGTCTCAAAGGTCACCGACATGAACCCAGTGAAACCTGCCACGTGCTGCGCCGAGCCATCTCAATTCCTGCAAGCCGCTGTGCCTTTTTGTTTCTGTACCCCCTCCGCCTCTCATCCTCTCCCTCTCTCACCCTCTCCCTCTCTCACCCTCTCCCTCTCTCACCCTCTCCCTCTCTCACTGCCCCTGCCCCTCCAGGGTATCGACTGCTCTGCTCTCCTCCCTCAGGGTCGCGAGCTCGTGGTGAAAGAGCTTCTGCCAGCCTGCTCCGCCTTCTACTACACCCAGCCGGTGAGTCTCACATGTTACTCCTGCTGTATCACGTATGGATAGTGGGGATACTACCAGTGCCATCATGTGCTGACATGTGCTGTGCTTCCTCTTCACCCTTCACTCTTCGCCTGACCATCTTTCACCCAAGCAGCAGAAAGACCACGTGCCACTTCGAATTCTTTCACCCTCTTTGACCACCTCTTTCCATCTCAAATCCCCTCTCTAACGATTTCCCCTTTAATTTCCCTCCCACAGGCCGACACATGCTCGTCCGTGGCTCAGTTTCTCAGCATCACCGAGGACAGCCTGCAGCAGCTCAACCCCGGCGTTAGCTGCTCCTCTCGCCTCCTTGCGTTCCGCGCTCTCTGTGTGGAGCGCGACCCAGCCAAGGCTAGGCCGACCTGTGAGAATACGATACAGATCGGCCGAGTGGTGGACTTCAAGCAGGTGGCGGCATCCCACGGAGCCACCATGGTGGACCTCTGCAGGCTCAACCCCTGGATCTCCTTCCGTGATTCCCTGCGCGACATTGATGGTGTAAGATTCAGGCAAATGACTGAGTAGTGGCTGGTTGTGCATTGCTGGTGGATACAAGTAAGATATTGTAATGATTCCATTCCTTGACCCATATATTGTAAGATGAATGAATTCCCATTTGCCAGCATGATTTGCAGCTTCTAATGGTTCCATTCCTTGACTCCTGTGTGTTCCATTGCAACTGGTGCATCTTCTATTGCAGCTTTGCGTGGCTGCCCGATACGCTACACCCCCTCCCAGCGACGACACCACACCACCTCCCAGCGACGACACCACACCACCTCCCAGCGACGACACCACACCCCCTCCCAGCGACGACACCACACCACCTCCCAGCGACGACACCACACCTCCTCCCAGCGATGACACCACACCACCTCCCAGCGACGACACCACACCCCCTCCCAGCGACGACACCACATCACCTCCCAGCGACGACACCACACCCCCTCCCAGCGACGACACCACACCTCCTCCCAGCGACGACACCACACCTCCTCCCAGCGACGACACCACACCTCCTCCCAGCGACGACACCACACCTCCTCCCAGCGACGACATCACACCTCCTCCCAGCGACGACATCACACCTTCTTCTGAGTACCCCGACGAAGAGAGTTCTAGCAGTAAGCCCCAATACGGTTGTTCGCCATGCCACCTCCATTCTTGCCAAAACCGATATCGTTCCCATGCGTGGGGGCTTTGTTGGGGCGGGCATCGCTTGTGCCCCTGGGAAGCACCACTGCCTGATCGAAGCACTTCAGTACTGGCAGCAGCGATGCTCCTCGTCTTCTCTGCCCTTTCCTGCCCCACGGATCCTCCAATCGTATCCTCCTTGCCACTCCACTGCTTGCTATTCTCTGCCCCTTGTGTGTATCCCCCGCCAGCCGGCGTGTGTGGCTTCGACAGAGTCAACGGGTGCTTGGTAGGCACGTGCATCGACCGCGGCACCGAAGACTCTACCTGCGTCTGTCTGCCCAACCACCGCTCTCATGGCAGCTACTGTGGTGAGCTCTCATGGCCGCTACTGTGGTGACCTCTCTCGCTGCTCGCAACGCTCCTGACAATGGTCTATACTGCAAACATATGTTCACACATTGAAACTCAAGGTGTGTGCTTTTATTCCATGGCAGATCAGGATTGGGAACCCATTTCGTCCATCACAGTCGCAGGCAGCGTCTGGAGGTGCAAGGACGTGTACACCATGTATGGCCTCACGCAGAAGCAGTTCACCTCCATGAACCCGGTGAGCCCTGCCACATGCTGCGTGCAAGCCTTACCATCTCGATTCCTGCAAGTGCCTTAATTGTCCATCTCAGTCCATTCTTGTTTCTTTACCCCCTCCGCCTCACAATCTTTCCACCTCACCTCTCTCTCACCCTCTTCCTCTCTCACCCTCTTCCTCTCTCACCCTCTTCCTCTCTCACCCTCTTCCTCTCTCACCCTCTTCCTCTCTCACCCTCTTCCTCTCTCACCCTCTTCCTCTCTCACCCTCTTCCTCTCTCACCCTCTTCCTCTCTCTCCCTCTGCTCCACTAACTCCATCTCTCTCACCCTCTCCCTCTCACTGTTCCTTCCCCTCCAGGGTATCGACTGCTCTGCTCTCCTCCCTCAGGGTCGCGAGCTCGTGGTGAAAGAGCTTCTGCCAGCCTGCTCTGCCTTCTACTACACGCAGCCGGTGAGTCCAACACGTTGCTCCTGCTACGGGAGCATCCCATGCAACACGTATGGATAGTGGGATGCCACCAGTGCCACCATGTGCTGCCATGTGCTGCCATGTCCTCTTCCCCCTTCACTCTTCGCCTGACCATCCTTTGCCCAAGCAGGAAGACCACGTGCTACTCGGTCCTTTTTGCACCTTAACGTTCCCACCATTCCACTACCTCTGTGTTGCTGCATCTTCCTTCACCCCCTTTGACCGCCTCTTTCCTTCTCAAACCCCCCCCCCCACCCTCTTTCCCCCCCCCCCCCCCTTCCCCTCCTACCATCAACCCCTTCCCTTCCGCTTCCACAGGCCGACACATGCTCGTCCGTGGCTCAGTTTCTCAGCATCACCGAGGACAGCCTGCAGCAGCTCAACCCCGGTGTTAGCTGCTCCTCTCGCCTCCTTGCGTTCCGCGCTCTGTGTGTGGAGCGCGACCCAGCTAAAGCCAGGCCGAGATGTGTCAAGGAGATACAGATCGGCCGAGTGGTGAACTTCACGCAGGTGGCGGCATCCCATGGAGCCACAATGGTGGACCTCTGCAGGCTCAACCCCTGGATCTCCTTCCGTGATTCCCTGCGCGACATTGATGGTGTAAGTTTGGGCACATCTTTTGCTTCTCTTTTGCGAGGGGTGTACTGCTCTACATGCTTGCACTGCAATGCACCGTCGGCATGTGCTGTGGCACTTAATATCTCCAATCCAATGCTTCTCATTGCTGCCCCTTGATTGCAGCTTTGTGTGGCTGCTCATTACACATGAGTGCCTCCTACGGGTGAGCACCCCTCCACAGGCGCATGCTTCCAATACCAATGCAGCCCCAGTTTGGAGCCAGGTGGCAGTACGCTCAACTCTGCAGCCGTTCCTCGTCAATCACCCTTTAGTGGATACTGTGCCAGAGATGTAATTGCTTGGATGGGTTCTTGCTGCGTTTACCATTAGACCTCTGCTGTATTATGGTCTGTTTTCTTTTCTGTGTTCATGTGGGTGTGGGTGTGTGTGTGTGTGTGCGTGTGTGTTTCTTTCTTATACCGTAATCACCCGGACATAACACCCGGGGGTATTATGATAACCACAGGGAAAAAAGGGGGGGGGGTCCTCTCAACGGAAAATCCTATATAATACCCGGGTGGTTATATATGGCACTTTTTAGTGTAAGAAAAAAACTTTAGACAATTTGGGTGTTTCATTAGTGTTATAACATCACAGGTTGAGGCGAGAATTCGAGTTTTGGCGAGAATGTGAGTTTCACCTCTCGGGCCACGTGCAGCGGAAGATTCGCCAGCGTGGCGACAGCGAGATTGTGGAAGGGAGGGAATCTCGGTAGATTCGAAGTGAAAGTGCACGCGAAATTTCATTCAAGTAGCGATTTTTGTCATATCCTTCCGTAAAAAACCTGACTCGATAACAGCTATAATAGGGTTTCGTAAGAAAAGGGGGGTGTTATAGAGAATCACCCCAAAAGGGGGGGTATAGTACAAACGAGGTCGGCTATAGCACCCCCCCCGCACAAGCTACCCGGGGGTGTACTATTACGGGGGGGTGTTTTGTCCGGGTGATTACGGTACCGACGTGTTATTTCACGAGTAAATTTACTGATGAGCATGGTTCAGTTTTAAGATACCCTATTTCCCCAGATAGACACTCCGGGGGCTCAACACTTCGTTGGCTTTTTCTTGTTGGGGGGAAGGGTTGGAGGAAGGGGGGACTTGTGTAGGCTGTAGTGGGGTAGCCCATATAGGGTACAACCCAATTAGGGTTAGTACTTGTACCCACAATCTCTTCAATGCAATCATTCCTGCCTAGACTTTCTGACATGCTTTCAGAGCAGTAGGTCCGCAGGACCGTTTTTTTCTTTTCTTTTATTTTCTTTTTTTTTTTTCTTTTTTTTTTTTTCGGGCCCACCTACCGTTGCGGTTACTGAGCTGCCCCCCTGCCTTGCCTGCGCTGCGCCGTCCGCGCGCGCCCTGCCTTGCCTGCGCTGCGCCATCCGCGCACGCCCTGCCTTGCTCTGTGACGTGCTGCGCTGCGCGCGCCGCCTTAGCAGCTTGCGCGCTGCCCGCTGCTGCCCCGCGCGCCATCCTTTTGCTGCTCGCGCGCAGTCCTTGCAGGCCCGTACGGCCCGCGCGCCGCCCCTACAGGCCCGTAAGGCCCGCGCGCCGCCCTCGTCGCCCGCGCGCAGCCTCTGCCTGACCGCGCGCCGCCCTACCCGCTCGCGCGCAGCCTCTGCCCGACCGCGCGCCGCCTCTGCCCGACCGCGCGCAGCCTCTGCCCGACCGCGCGCCGCCCTCGCCGCCTGCGCGCAGCCTTAGCCTGCTCGCGCGCGGCCCCTGCTGGCCGGCGCGCCGCGTTTCGCCACCCGTACGCGGCCCCTACCCATCGCAAGCCAACCCTAACCGCGCGCGCGCGGCCTCTGCCCGCACGCGCGCTGCCCCTGCCCGCGCGCGCGCGCGGCCCCTGCCTGCGCGCGCGCTGCCCTTGCCGTATGCGCGCTGCCCCTGCCTACGAGCGCGCTGCCTTTGCCTACACGCGCGCTGCCACTGCCTCAGTCTGACGCGTTGCCCGTCCTGCCCTGCTGGCCCCCGCCACGCCGCCGCCGCGGCCCCGCCACGCCACCGACGCGGCCCCGCCACGCCGCCGACGCGGCCCCGCCACGCCGCCGACGCGGCCCCGCCCTGCCGCCGACGCGGCCCTGCCCTGCCACTGACGCGGCCCTGCCCTGCCGCTGACACGACCCCGCCCTGCAACAGCTGCCGTTACGCCTACCCTGCCGCTGCCAGCCGAGCGCCGGCCCTGCTCGCTCGGCGAGCGCCTGCCCTTCCCGCCACTGGTGAGCACCTGCCCTACCCGCGCTTCCCGCGCGCCTGCCTTGTTAGCGCGCTGCCGCGCCATCTGCCTGCCTGCCTGCCTGCCTGTCTGCCGGCCTGCCGCGCCTGCCCTGCCCGCGCTGCTACTGCTGTTACCGCTGCCTAGGCTGCTGCTGCTGCTGCTGCGACTGCTGCTGCTGCTGCTGCTGCTGCGGTGGTCAGATGCAGCTCCAGCGACGTTCGCGCGAGTCTCTCACGCCCCAGCAGCTTAGTGAGTGGTACGCTAGTTGGGGTTGTGGTGGTAGCCGTCGTGGCTGTCGCCCTGGAGCTGGTCAGTCGGGAGCGTCTGGCAGTGGCCAGCTGCAGCTGCAGCGGCGTCCGCGCGAGACACTTACGCCCCAGCAGCTTCATGAGTGGTACGCTCAGAGTAGAGGGTCTCGGAGTACCGTTCGCTGCCCGTACGTCATTCGCACAGGTGATCGGGCTGGTCAGGCTTGCGGGACGCTTGGTCACACACCGTCCCGCTGCTTCGCCCGTCTGAGCGACGCCTGGCGTACTGAGTTTGGCGACGAGGCTGAGCTCCCCTGGCTGGAGCTGCTTAGGTAGAGGGTAGATATCTTTGCTCTTGACTATGATGCTATTCTCACTACCATGTATGCGTTGCCTACTAGTGCTGATGGTGCCTGTTACCTGTGCGTCCCGCCTGACCCAGGTATAGAGCCTGCTGCTCTAGGTGCTGGTGAGGCTGCTGCTCTAGGTGCTAGTGCGTCTCCTGCTCTAGGTGCTAGTGAGTCTGCTCTCTCTGGTACTGCGCCTGCTGAGGCCTTGTACACCTTCACGCTTGACTCAGGTGCTTCCCGCTCCTTCTTTCGCGACAGCACCACCCTCACGCCGCTCAGTCGGCCGGTTGCAGTCTCCCTGACAGAACCCTCTGGGGGTCCAGTCCTTGCGCACTCCTCCACGGTCCTGCCGTGTCCGGCGGTCCCGTCTGGCTCCCTGTCAGGTCTTCACCTCCCCTCGTTCTCTACGAACTTGGTTGCTGACCTCCAGGACCAGTGGGTTGACCAGTTCACTCCTGGAGGTCAGCGCGTGACCCACTGTACGTGCTCCCGGACGGGCCGGCACCTGGCCACGTTTACCCGTGCGCCTGGCTCGAGTCTGTACACACTGACTACTGTGTCCCCTCAGGTCGATGCGTCTACGTCTGCGTCTGCGTCAGGTCAGCTAGCGGCCCCCTGCTCGTGTCGCGCTTTGTCGCACCAGACCCTCCTTTGGCACCACCGTCTTGGTCACCCCTCGGTGCAGCGCCTTCGTAGCATGCACCGCCGGGTCCTTGTCTCTGGTCTTCCCAGGGTTCTCCCTCCCCTCCCACCCTCGCCTGCTCCTCCCTGTCTTCCCTGTGTCGAGGGGCGGCAGCGCGCCGCTCCTCACTCCTCCTCGTTTCCCCCGACGACTGCTCCCTTGCAGACGCGGCCTGCACATGGACGTGTGGGGCCCAGCCCGCGTCACTGGACAGGGCCGCGAGCGGTACTTTCTGCTGGTTGTCGACGACTACTCGCGTTACACCACGGTCTTCCCCTTGCGCACCAAGGGTGAGGTCCCTGATGTTTTGATCCCTTGGATCCGCGCTGCCCGTCTCCAGCTCCGCGAGCGGTTCGGGACGGAGTTTCCCGTCCTGCGTCTGCACTCTGACAGAGGTGGGGAGTTTTCCTCCGACCTTCTGCAGAGCTTTTGTCGTGGGGAGGGGAATCGCTAGACGTTCACGCTTCCGGCCTCTCCGCAGCAGAATGGGGTTGCTGAGCGCCGCATTGGCTTAGTCATGGAGGTCGCTCGTACCTCCATGGTCCATGCGGCTGCCCCCCATTTTCTGTGGCCGTTTACGGTCCGGTACGCCGCCCATCAGCTCAACCTCTGGCCCCGTGTCTCCTTGCCGGAGACCTCGCCCACACTGCGGTGGACGGGGGAGGTTGGCGATGCGTCGGTGTTCCGGGTCTGGGGTTCTCGTGCCTTTGTCCGCGATACCACCGCGGACAAGCTCTCCGCCCGCGCTGTTCCCTGTGTCTCCCTTGACTTTATCCCTGAAGCGCCTGGTTGGCAGTTTTACCACCCCACCTCGCGCCGTGTCTTCCCCTCTCAGGACGTCACGTTCGACGAGTCGGTTCCCTTTTACCGTCTCTTCCCCTACCGCGCTGCCCCTCTCCCCCACCCGCCGCTCTTCCTCGCTCCAGGTGCTCCCCAGGTAGACCCCCTCCCCGCTCCCGGTCCTGCTCCTTCAGGTGTGTCTCAGGTAGACCCTCCTCAATTGTCTGCACCGGTTGAGATCACTGGTGACTCAGGTCCTGCTGAGGGTGGTCCTGCTCGGGGTGCTGCTTCTGGGGGTGCTGAGCCTGGGGGTGCGGAGCCTGGGGGTGCTGAGCCTGGGGGTGCGGAGTCTGGGGGTGCTGAGCCTGGGGGTGCTGCGTCTGGGGGTGCTGCACCCGGGGGCTCTGGGGGTGCTGCACCTGGGGGCGCTGAGGCGTCTGGTGAGCAGTCTCCCTGGAGCGGCCGTCTCCGTAGTCGCTCCGCTGGTGCCTCGCCGCTGCACTCTCGTCGTCGTCTCCCTCTCTCCCCACAATAGTTGTTTGAGTGGTACGTTAGCCGTCAGGGTCGAGCTGCTGGAGCTGGGGGCCCTGCTGCGGGAGGCACTGGTGATGGAGGCACTGGAGCCGGCGCTGTCCCTGGGGGTGCGGAGCCTGGGGGTGCGGAGCCTGGGGGTGCAGAGCCTGAGCGTGAGGAGCCTGGGAGTGCTGAGTCTGGGGGTGCTGAGCCTGAGCGTGAGGAGACTGGAGGTACTACGTCTGGGGGTGCTGAGCCTGTGCGTGAGGAGTCTGGGGGTGCTGAGTCTGGGGGTGCGGCGCCTGAGGGTACTGCGACTGCTGGTGCGCGGTCTCCTTGGAGTGGCCGCCTTCGTCCGCGTGTGCCTCTCACCTCACAGCAGCTGCACGACTGGTACGGTTGCCGTCAGGTTCGCGCTGCTGGAGCTCGGGGCTCTGCCGCTGGAGGTGCTTCTGCTGACGCCACTGGAGCTGGGAGTGGTGCTGGTACTTTGTCTACTGGAGGTGCTGGAGTTGCTGGTCCCGGAGGTGCTCGTACTGGCAGTACTGGAGCTGCTGGGACTGGAGGTGCTGCTGCTGGAGACACTGCGGTTGGAGACCCTGGGACTGGAGGTGCCGGTTCTGGGGGTGCTGCTGCTAGTGGAGCTGGTCCTGGAGGAGCTGGCGCTGGAGGTTCTGGAGCTACTGGGGGCGCTGGAGCTGCTGGTGCTGGTGCCACGGCGCAGCCGAGACTGTTCTTCGCTCCGCCGTCTTCGTCGTCCCCGCCACCGCCTGACTCTGTGCTTCGCCAGGTTCTTAGCCTCCCGTCTTCTACTGGTCTTCCGTTACAGCCTGGCTCCCCGCTGCCTGCTCCTTCTCCTTACGCCGAGCAGCCAGGGGGTCCTTCTGAGCGTCGTGAGCCTGCGTCGCGTCCTGTCTCGCCTGTTTGTTCTGGTCGTACCAGTCGTCGTGTTGCTCGTCCGCGTTCGCCGGCTGTCCCCGGCGCGCACCTCGTTGTCCGTCGTCCGTCCTCTGCTCCGCAGCGTGTTCCTCTGCCGTCTCCTCCTGAGTCCTCTCTGCCTGACGTTCCGGACCCTGAGTCTGACCGGTTTCGTGCTGAGCACCCTATTGTCACGCGTCTGTTAGCCACTGTTGTCACCGACCCGTCGTTTGAGTCTGCTGCTACGTCTGCCTTGGTCGCTGAGCTTGTGGACTTTGCTGCTGCCTGTCGTCTAGACTACGCTGCCAGTCTTGTTGCTGAGTCTGCGTCTGTCTGTCCTCCGTCCGTCGGGGGTGCGTGTGCTCTTGGCACGGACGTCCTTGAGGACAGACAAGAGGACCTTGAGTGTCTTGCGGCCGCTGCGCCTCATCTCGTGGCCATGCTGCTTGCCCCTGAGGGAGACCCGGATGCACCAGACATCCCTACCCCGCGATCTTACGCTGAGGCGATCGCGGGTCCCTACTCCTCTCAGTGGCAGACAGCCATGGACGCAGAGATGGCATCCTGGAAGTCCACAGGCACTACGTCGACGAGGTTCCCCCACCTGGGGCGAACATCGTCGATGGCATGTGGATTTTCAGGGTGAAGCGGCCGCCGAGTTCTCCGCCTGTCTTCAAGGCTCGTTACGTTGCACGAGGCTTTAGTCAGCGAGAGGGAGTTGACTTCTTCCAGACCTTCTCCCCCACCCCGAAGATGACTACTCTTCGGGTACTGCTGCACGTTGCCGCTCAGCGTGACTACGAGCTTCACTCTCTGGACTTCAGCACAGCTTTCTTACAGGGTAGCCTGCACGAGGAGATCTGGCTGCGCCGCCCACCTAGCTTCACTAGGACGTTCCCTCCTTGTACCCAGTGGAGCCTCCGGCGGCCAGTCTACGGTCTCCGCCAGGCGCCTCGTGAGTGGCACGACACACTGAGGACTACACTTGCGGCACTTGGGTTTGCTCCTTCGACAGCTGACCCGTCGCTGTTTCTGCGCACCGACACTTCGCTGCCGCCGTTTTACATCCTCGTGTACGTCGACGACTTGGTCTTTGCCACTGCTGACACTGAGGCTCTCGCCCTGGTGAAGTCGGAGCTGCAGAAGAGACACACGTGCATAGACCTGGGTGAGCTGCGCAGTTACCTTGGCTTGCAGATCACCCGGGACCGAGCACGCCACACCATCACACTGACTCAGTCACACATGGTGCAGCAGGTCCTTCAGCGCTTCGGCTTCACCTGGTCCTCGCCACAGTCCACTCCTACAGGTCACTCGCTCTCAGCTCCACCTTCGGACGAGTCCGTAGAGCCGATTGGTCCTTACCCAGAGCTAGTGGGCTGCCTCATGTACCTGATGACCTGCACTCGTCCTGACCTTGCGTACCCTCTTGGCCTTCTGGCACGCTACGTGGCTCCTGGTCGGCACCAAAAGGTGCACATGGATGCTGCAAAGAGGGTACTGCGCTACTTGTGCAGTACATCGGGCATGGGGCTCGTGCTTGGAGGGCGGAGTCCAGTTGTCCTCACTGGGCACTCAGACGCTTCTTGTGTTGAAGACCTAGCTACGCAGCGGTCGTCACAGGGTTACACCTTCAGCCTTGGCTCTAGCTCTGTTTCTTGGCGGTCTACTCGCTCCTCTTCTGTTCTCGGCTCCAGTTGTGAGGCTGAGATCTACGCCATAGCCATGGCTGCACAGGAGTTACGCTGGCTTACCTACCTGCTGACTGACTTGGGAGAGAGGCCTCGTTCTCCTCCAGTTCTGTACGTCGACAACAAGGCCGCCATTGCCTTGTGTCAGGAGCACAGACTGGAGCACAGAACGAAGCACATCGCTTTGCGTTACTTCCTAGCTCGAGAGTTGCAGCAGCGTGGTCAGCTTCGTCTTGCTCACGTGGCCACTCAGGCCAACACTGCTGATATATTCACCAAGGCACTTCCGTCTGGTGACCATCAGCGCTTTTGTACTTTGTTGGGCCTTGTGCCTACGTTTCCACACTTGCTGTAGACTCTGCTTGTACTGTGATCTATATATATATATATATACCTGCATGTTCACTCTTGCTAGGTTGTGATCACTGTACTGTTGTTGTTGCATATATGTCTCTGCATGTGAACTGGCCTTGTGGCCCTTTGCTTGTGCTTAGTGTGTGTGGTGACGTTGTGATCCACCCTGAGCTTGCTTTGCTTTTCTTGACTGGTCTTGTGACCCCTTGTTCTCCCCCACTTTGCTTATGGGGGTGTGTCAAACATATATGCATGTTATATTTGTGTAAACTGTAGTGGGGTAGCCCATATAGGGTACAACCCAATGTTAGGGTTAGTACTTGTACCCACAATCTCTTCAATGCAATCATTCCTGCCTAGACTTTCTGACACACTTCGTTGGCTTTTTCTTGTTGGGGGGAAGGGTTGGAGGAAGGGGGTACTTGTGATCGAATGAAATGTGTTAGCCTGGGTCCTGGGCTTGTCCTACGTAACCATTTTATGATACCGTATGGCTTCGGATGGTAGCGCATATGCACGTAGATGATTAGTGAGGTGTTATTTCATGAGTAAGTTTACTGATAAGCATGGTTCCAATTCAAATATAGATACTAGATCTCCCCAGACAGATGCCACATGGATATCCTACGTTTGGTATTTTTTATACGGATCTTAACAATTTCAAGATACGGTAAAATCTGAATCTACGAAAGAGGTTAGGCCATTTAGTGGGAAAAAGCCTTATTACTTCTTTCGCTGATGACAATAAAGCACCCCGAAGCTCAACCTGTGCGATGGGGGCGGCATCCGTCTATCCGGGAGAATGCCGTAGTACATCAATCAAGCATCATCATCATCATCATCATCATCATCATCATCATCATCATCATCATCATCATCATCATCATCATCATCATCATCATCATCATCATCATCATCATCATCATCATCATCATCATCATCATCATCCTCCCCATCGTCATGCCCTTCCACCTCAAACCCATCACCATCATCCTCGTCCTCATGCCCCTCCACGTCCTGCTCAAAGTGCATGTCGTGCATGTGGTGCTGCTGCAAGCCAACTGTAGTACATCAATCATCATCAGCATCAGCATCATCAGCACCATCATCCCCATCCCCAACCTCATGCCCCTCCACATCCTGCTCAAAGTGCATGTCGTGCATGTGGTGGTGCTGCGAGGCAAAGGGCAAGGGGTCGCGGGGGAGGTGGAATGGGCGGTAGTTGGGCGGCATGGTGAAGCCGGAGAAGGAGATGCTGTCCATGGAGAGGCTGCCCACTATCGGCATCAAGTTCCAGTACATCGTCAGGTTGAAGGGGAGCCCCCTCAGGCTGTTCCCCTGCCATGTGCGAGACATGGAAAGGACACATGCGAAAGAGGCAGTTGGCGACATGACACGTCATGGAGAGGCCACCAACTATGGGCATCACGTTCCAGTAGCTTTTGGCAGACCCCTCAGGCTGTTCCCCTGCCGTGTGCGAGTGAGGGAGACAGGGATGCACGCGGGGGAAGGGAGGTGGAAGGGGCAGTATTTGGGCGGCATGGTGAAGCCGGGGAAGGAGATGTTGTCCATGGAGAGGCCGCCCACTATGGGCATCACGCTCCAGTGCACCGTCAGGTTGAATGGGAGACCCCTCAGGCTGTTCCCCTGCCATGAGAAAGAGAGACAAGGATGCATGCAAAAGAGGCAGTCGGCGACACGAAACGTCAGTAGAGGCCGCCCACTATGGGCATCACGTTCCAATAGACTGTCAGGTTGAAGGAAAGACCCCTCAGGCTGTTCCCCTGCCATGTGCGAGTGGGAGGGACAAGGACGCATGTGAAAAACGGCGAGTGACAAGGATGCATGGGAAAGAGACAGTCAGCAACAAGAACCTGCGGCAGAGTAAGTACGTGGCAACACAGTAGCTGGAAGGGAAGAGCTCAAAGTAGAGAAAAGCTAGAGGGGGAAACAGGAAAAGAGTTGGGTGTACGACAGGCAGGGGGAAGAGCTGATGCAGGAGGGTGGATTGGTGCTGACCTGGTCCATGAGGGATAATCGCTGATGTCCCCCGTGAACTGCAGCCATCTTTTAGATCAGAGAGTACGTCCTAACAGACCAGTCAGCAAGTGGATGATTCACACCTGGACTCGTAAGTAAATTGCTACTGACCTGGTCCATGAGCGAGTACTCAAAGATCTTCCTCGTGAACTGCAGTGCTGCGTCCTCCTTGCGCTCCACGATGGCATCCCACAGCGACACCTGACACGCAATGACCCACCCACCATCATGCCATGGTGTGTCCTTGGTGTTTGCTAAGATATTAGAGCTATGCACTCAGACCACATCTGGGTATGCACTTGGAGAATGACGCAGAGTGGACACGAAAAGGGTCAACGTGGATGGAGGGAGATGCGAAACAGAAGAGAAATGGATTTGCGTGAAGAAACTGGGAACGTCAGGCCCACCTGATTCAGAGGATGCTTCGGGGTTGAAAAGTTTGCAGTGACAAACACAAACAGCTGGGGAAGGCACAGAGGGACGAGAGTTGAGACAGGGTTGCATTAGGCGCGATTCACGAGCATCTCAGAAACTGCAGTGGCCTGCGAGTCAGGAGTGGTGTGTGAGGCATGAGTGGTGTGTGAGGCAGGAGTGGTGTGCGAGTCAGGAGTGGCAGCATGTCAGCTATGTGGCCAGCACATTCAAAGCTACTGCTGCAGCATTTCCATTCTACAGACGAGCTAGCAGAGGATGCAAGCTTCGACACACCGACTTCCAGCACACCGGCATGCATGCATGCTCCGTGCAAGCAAGGTGACGGCGTAGTGATGAGGGGAAAGGCAACACTTGCAGCAGAAGCCACAATGTAGCTTCCCAGCAGCAGCATGGCAAATGGCCGCCATGAGGGAGAGATGGGTGTGTGTGCGGAGGGAAGGATCGCGTGCAGGGGGGAAGGATTGTCAGAATGCGATGTTTGTCTAGCCTGCAGTGGGGTACTCTATAGCGAGTACAGCTCAAATTAGGGTTTGCTATATGTACTCAACTTCCTGCTTGTGAAAACCCCTCTTTCTTGTTTCTCATTCATGCCTAGTGATTCTGACATGCTATCAGAGCAGGTCGACCCTCCTGGGTCGATCCTGTGGGTGGTCCCGCCCGATGCTTCCGCTGCTGTTCTGCCTATCGCACGCCCTGGGCGCGCGATGCCTGCTGCTTGCAGTGCGCTCAGGGCGCGCGGTGCTGCGCGGCGGTTTTCTGCCTCGTCGACCCACGCCCCCCCCCCCGTCGGCGGTCGCGTCGCCCCGCTGGCCCGCGCGTCGCCCCCGCTACGCGCCTGGGGAGCCGTGCGCGACCCCGCTACCCCGTTGCGACGCCCTAAGGAGCCGCGCGCGACCCCGCTGCCTCGTCGCGACGCCCTTGGGAGCCGCGCGCAGCCCCCCCGCTGCCCCGTCGCGACGCCCTCGGGGACGCGCGCGGCCCCCCGCTGCCCCGTCGCGGCGCCCTGGGGAGCCGCGCGCGGCCCCCCGCTGCCCCGTCGAGGCGCCCTGGGGAGCCGCCCTCCCCCGAGCTGCTGCCAGCGCAACGCCCCCCCGCTGCTGCCTCTGTTAGGGTTTGGGGGTGGCGAGTGTGGGGGTGGCGGTTATGGGGGTGAAGGGTGTGTGCGCCGTCCCCTGCTCCTCCTCCTCCTCCGTCTCCCACTGCTGCAGCTGCCGCTGAGGGGGGTGGATGTGTGGGAGCCGTCGGAGTGGTACTAGGGGGGTGGCGTGTGAGCAGTGCTAGAGGTACTCCAGGGGGTGTGAGAGGGGTGTGGGACAGCTGGGGGAAGTTGAGTGGAGGCAGCCGTCTTGTCGTCCGCAGCGCCTGTAGTCCAGAGAGCCAGCTGCGTCTGTGGCCTGAGTAGTCCGGGGCTCTGCGCCTGGTAGCCACAGTGTGAGCACTCCTGGTAGTCCAGAGAGCCAGCTGCGTCTGTGGCCTGAGTAGTCCGGGTATAGCCTGGTAGCTACAGTGTGAGCACTCCTGGGAGCACAGAGAGCTAGCTCCGCCTGTCGCCTGAGTAGTCCGGGTATAGCCTGGTAGCGACAGTGCTGCGCACTCCTGTTGCCCGTGTGTCTGCAGCTTCAGCCGTCGCCTCCCATCTTCTCGCCTCCACAGTTTCTCCTCCTCCTCACTTGCCCGCTGTGATGGTCTCTAGCTTTGCTTCTCTTTGTGAACTATTGCTTTGCCTGCTTGTTGTGCTGATTATACCCCACTTTGCCTGCAGTGGGGTACTCTATAGCGAGTACAGCTCAAATTAGGGTTTGCTATATGTACTCAACTGCCTGCTAGTGAAAACCCCTCTTTCCTGTTTCTCATTCATGCCTAGTGATTCTGACAAGGATGGCATGCAGGGGGGAAGGATGGCATGCAGGGGGGAAGGATGGCATGCAGGGGGGAAGGATGGCGTGCAGGGGGGAAGGATGGCGTGCAGGGGGGAAGGATGGCGTGCAGGGGGGAAGGATGGCGTGCAGGGGGGAAGGATGGCGTGCAGGGGGAAGGATGGCATGCAGGGGGGAAGGATGGCGGCGGAACGAGTGGCGAAAAGGAGTGGGGAGCGGGGTTAGGAGAGGATAGGAGAGGAGAGGAGAGGAGAGGAGAGGAGAGGAGAGGAGAGGAGAGGAGAGGAGAGGAGAGGAGAGAAGAGGAGAGGAGAGGGTACCTGCTTGGTGTTCCACGTGAAGACGGACGTGAGGTTGGCCATGATGTTGAGTGTCAACACCGCCTGGGAAAAAGGGGCGGAGGGTAGAGGGAAGTGGGCAGGGGGACGGGGAAAGGGGAAGAGGGACCGGGGAAAGGGAAGGGGGCGGGGGAAGGGGAAGCGGGACCGTGGAAGGGAAGTGGGACGGGGGAAGCGGAAGCGGGACGAGGGAATGGGAAGGGGGACGGGGAAAGGGGGACGGGGGAAGGAATAGCGGGACGTTGGAAGGGGAATGAGGACGGGGTGAGGGGGATGTGGACACGGGAAGGGGAAGCGGGACAGGGGAAGGGGAATGGGGACGGGGGGAGGGGAAGGGGGACGGGTGATTGAGAAGCGGGACAGGGCAAAGGGAAGTGGGAGGGGGGGAGGGGAAGGGGGAAGGGGCAAAGTAAAGTAGGAGGGGGGAAGGGGAAGGGGAAGGGGGACGGGGGAAGGGTAAGGGGGCAGAGGGGGGAGAGGGGTGGGAGGTGTGGGGAGGGACGAAGGGGGGAGGGTGGGGTCACGAACGGACGTCAGCATTCTTAAGGTGATGTAGCCAAACAAACAACAAATAAACGGAATGGCCCAAGTTCCAAGAATCCGATCGCCTGTGGTGAGGCGAATGGTGCGCACAAGCAGCGAGGATGGAAAGGACGGCGAGATTGCGGAACTCGAGCAGATGATGCGGCCCTTCGTGAGACCATCCCACCCGCACCGCCCTCACCACCCGCACTGCCATCAGGGAGCAGAGTTTTCAAGCCGTGCCTCATCGTTGCCCTGGAAGGGACTGCCCGGTATCCTCCAGAAGTGCTCCACGTCCAACAGCTGCAGATTTTGCACAGTTCGCACAATTCGCACAATTCGCAAAATTCGCACACGGTGTATTGCATTCGGTTTTTGTGGTAATGTCCGGAAAACAATTTTTACTGGTCGGTGACATTGGCATTTGGGCATATGCGAATTTATTGGGCACCATTGCTGCATACACCATGGGGGGACTGTCTTGGGGCATGGGAGATGAAGGGCAGCGGGATGGAGAACAGGAGAGGAGGGAGAAAGATTGGCAAGCTTAACCATCACCTCCCTCACCGGCCTGGCTGCAGATTTGGGCACCATGGCTGCATACACCATGGGGGGGATGTCTGCGGGGGCAGGGGGATGGATGACAGGAACAGAGAAAGAAGCCGTTCACAGACTTCACGGCACATGCGGCAGAGCTGGGCACCATGGCTGCATACACCATGGGGGGAATGTCTGGGGGGGCAGGGAGGTGGAGGGCAGGGGAGAGGGGTGGGGGGAGGTTAGGAGGCTTAACCACCTCCCTCACTCACTGGCCTGGCTGCGAATTGGGCACCATGGCTGCATACACCATGGGGGGGATGTCTGGGGGGCAGGCATGAGAGGAAAGGAGCAACAGAAAAAGGGGTCCCCAGGCTTAACCGCCTCGTCCTTGGTACAAGTTCAATACTGGGCAGAATGGCTGCATACACCATGGGGGGGATGTCCGCGGGGCATAGGAGGAAAGGAGCAACAGAAAAAGGTGATCACAGGCTCAACCACCTCGTCCTTGGCACATGTGCAAGTGCTGAGCAGCATTGGCTGCGTACAGCATGCGAGAGATGTCTGGGGGAGCAGGGGGCATGGGAGGAAAGGAGAAGAAGGAACAGGGTGTTCACAGGCTCAACCACCTCGTCCTTGGCACATGTGTGTGTTAAACTTTTGGCACAGTTGTACATTCGGATCTTAAACTTTTTCAAGGGTTATTTTTTTCACTAGTTGACTATCGTCCCTTTGCTAAAGGAGACCTTGCCTACTGCTGCCCTTCTTCATGAGCACAGATTTGTACAAGTGCTGAGCAGCATGGCTGCGTACTGCAGGGGGGGGGGGGGGGGGGGGGGGGGGGGGGGGGGGGGGGATGTTTCGCGACTGGGGGCATGGGAGCAGGGGATAGAAGACTTGGAGATAGGAATGAGATGAGTGTGAGTGTAGACGCCCGAAGAGTTGCTTGTGGTTGTTGACGAGTCGAAGCAGCACGAGCACATAGACCATGCACTGCACGACAAACAGCCCTCACTACCTGACAGCCCTCACTGCCTGACAGCCCTCACTGCCCGACAGCCCTCACACCCTCTCCTGTTCATAAGAGAGGCTTACCGAGGCTGCTGATGATCTCCACTAGGTCCATGATCTCACTGCTTGACAGCCCTCCCCTTGTTCGAGACACAACGCACACCAGTCACCAATACCCTTTCCTCACTGCTTACCAAGGCTGCTAATGATCTCCACCAGGTCCATGATATCAATGCCCGACAGCCCTCACGGCCCGGCACTTGAACGCCCTCCCTGACAGCAAGAGGACAAAACAAGACAGTGAGCTTACCCAGGCTGCTGATGATCTCCACCAGGTCCATTGTATCAATGTCTGACAGCCCCGCACCAGCCCCGACACGATGCACACCAGCCGGCACGACCCTCTTCGTCAACACTCCAAGTCATACCCAGCCCCCCTCACTGCTTACCCAGGCTGCTGATCATCTCCACCAGGTCCATGATTTGAATGCCTGGCAGCTCTCACTGCCCGACAGCCCTCACACGATGAAACCAATCAGATGCTTGATTCAAAACAAGACACTCGCCATACCCAGGCTGCTGATGATCTCCACCAGGTCCATGATCTCAATGCGTGACAGCCCTGACACGATTCACACCCGCTCGCCCACGTTGTTGGGCCATTTGCTGCTGCTGTCATGCGCCTGTTGACACCGAGTGGGGTGGGATAAAAGCAATGGCGACAAATGCAGGGGTGATGAGGGGGCATGGCATGACTAATGACTATGTTTTTTGAGAATTCTAATGTGATTTTGAAAAAAACATGTGATGAGGGGGCATGGCATGACTAATGACAGCGAACTTACCCAGGCTGCTGATGATCTCGACCAGGTCCATGATCTCAATGCTTGACAGCCCTGACACGATGCACACCCGCTCGCCCACGTTGTTGGGCCATTCGCTGCTGCTGTCATTCTCCTGTTGATGCCACAGGTGGGGGGATTAATGGAGGAGCGATTGATGCAAGGGGGAAGGGAAATGATGTTGGGCCACTGGCTGCTGCTGTCAGCCTCCTGTTGACACCACGTGGAATGAATGCAATGGCGATAAATGCAGGGGTAATGGGGGGCCATGGCATGATTAGTGACTGCCTTGGCTGCAAGATTTTGGTCTGATCTGAGACACTCACGACACAAGCACAACAGCGCACTGCAAGCAGCACACAGCAGGCAGCACCTGTGATCGCGGGCAGCAGCCACAGAGGGCGCAGGCACGGAGGGGAAGGGCTGGGCGACCTTTGAGTGCAGCGGGCTGCGCATGACAGGCAGCAAGCGCACCTTTGGTTGTGAAGCTACGGGTACAGAGGGCGCGGGCACGGAGGGGAAGGGCTGGGCGGCTTTTGGATCCACTCATCAAGCGCACCTGTGGTTGTGGTGAAGCACTCAGCTCACCTGTGATTTTGGGGCAGTGGCTACAGAGGGCGGGGGCACGGAGGGGAAGGGCTGGGCGGCCCTCTCCATGGCATCCCACAGAGTGACGTCCGCCACTGACTCGTCTGCTGATAGCAGCTGCGGTTGGGTGCGGTTCTGAAGGGTTGATGGGGACACATGAACACAGTGAGAGAGGGTGAGGGGGGCTGAGTTCCATGGCGTCCCACAGAGTGACGTCCGCCAGTGACTCGTCTGCTGATAGCAGCTGCAGGCAAAACGGTTGGGTGCAGTTCAAAAGGGTTGATAGTGACACAGAGACAGACAGATGGTAAAGAGGGAGAGGCCGCCCTCTCTATGGCGTCCCACAGAGTGACGTCCGCCACTGACTCGTCCGCTGATTGTAGCTAATAGGGATGGGCACAGCACAATGGTTGGGTGCGGTTCAGGAAGGTTTATGGGGACAGTGAGAGAGGGGGTGAGGAGAGGGTTCCATGGCATCCCACAGAGTGACGTCCGCCACTGAGGCGTCTGCTGATAGCAGCTGATGGGGAGAGGCGAGATGGTTGAGTGCGGTTGAGTAGGGTTGATGGGGACACGCTGACAGACAGAGGGTAAAGAGAGGGTTGGCGACCTCCGCATGGCGTCCCAAAGAGTGACGTCCGCCACTGACGGGTCTGCCGCCAGCAGCTGATGGGGAGGGGCAAGGCGGGGTTGGGTGCGGTTCAGAAGAATTGATGGGGATACAGTGAGAGAAAGTACACAATCAGTGGGTGACACAACCAGTGGGTGACACAACCAGTGGGTGACACAAGCAGTGGGTGACACAAGCAATAGGTGACACAATCAGTGGGTGACACAAACATTAGGTGACACAATCACTGGGTGACACAATCAGTGGGTGACACAATGAGTGGGTGACACAATCAGTGGGTGACACAATCATGGGTGGCACAATCAGTGGGTGGCACAATCAGTGGGTGGCACAATCATTGCAAGCGAGGATACATGGATTTCCTCCCCATGTAGTCTCCTACACTCCCTCGGTTTCTTCTTTCCTGCATGCCCGAGGGTCAAATCAGCGTCAACGATTTCTCCAAGGACACTTATTGCGTCAAAGCCACCATAGCAGCAGAGGGGAGCGGGAGCGGGGGGCAGCAGAGGGGAGCGGGAGCGGGGAGCAGCAGAGGGGAGCGGAAGCGGGGAGCATTAGAGGGGAGCAAGAGCACGCTGCTGCAGTCGTTTAACGCCAATTTTCGCTGGTTAAAACCGCGGAAGTATCACGCCTAGGTGGGTAGGCGGGCAGTGTTACTGCGGATGTAGTGACGTGAAGCGAAGGGAGAGAGCGCAGAACACGCAGCCACGGTAGACACTGTGGGGACAGCTCTGAAGAGGAGCAACTCGAAAGGGGGGAAATGACTCGCTTGCGGCCACGATTTTGTGGAAGGCGACTTGTGAAAGTGACTCGAGTGTATCATATTAGACTACATCATTTTCACAAATAAATTAGTCATTAGTCAAGAAACGTAAAGATTGTTGCAACCATATTTTCCAGGCAGGTAAATTGTACACCACAGTTACGGTACAGAGTGCCAATAGCGTAGCACCACTAACTCGTAACCCAGAACGCCATTTCAACTTCCCGCCGCTCGCGCCATCATGGCTCCCGCCGCCGCCATTGCTCCCGCGCCCGCCTTCCGCCTCTCCGCCAGCGCTTCTCTTCCCGCGCGGTTCCGCGCCTCTTCCCCGCGCGCCGCCATCCCCGCTGCAAGCTCCTCTGGAGTCCAGCGCCGCAATGGCGCTGCTGTTCGACTGCGACGGCGTGCTGGTTGACACGGAGAGGGACGGCCACCGCGTGTCGTTCAACAAGGCGTTCGAGGAGATGAGAGGGTTGCGCAGGAGTAGGGGACGGGGAGGGGAAGGGGAGCAGGAAGGCATGTGTGCTGTGTGTCTGTCGTCAAGTGCTGGTGGACACGGAGAGGAACGGCCACCGTGTGTCGTTCAACCAGGCATTTGAAAAGGTATGGTGGTGGCATGGGGGAAGGGAAGCGTAGGGGAGGCGGAGGGGGGAGGCATGTGTGCTGTTCTGTGCGGCTGCGACGGCGTGTTGGTTGACACGGAGAGCGACGGCCACCACGTGTCGTTCATTCAACCATGTGTTCCAAGAGGTGGAAGGGCGAGGAGTGTGAGAGGGAGGAGGACGGGAGGGGAGAGAGAGAGATGTGTGTGCTGCTGAGTGCGTGTCGTTCATTCAACAATGCCCCCTCTCCTCGTCCTCTCTCCTCTATTCCCTTGTGCTCTTCTGCACTCGCTCCTGCTCGCAACAAGGGTTGGGGGCGACGTGGGGGACGTGCCGCACTATGACGAGCTGCTCAATGTTGCACCGACCAACGCCCCCTCCCCTCATTCTCTCCCCCCTCCCCTCATTCTCTCCCCCTCTCCCATTCTCTCCCCCTCTCCCATTATCTCCCCTCTCCTCATCTTCTCCCCCCTCTCCTCATTCTCTCCCCCCTCTCCTCATTCTCTCCCCCTGTCCCATCCTCTCCCCCTCTCCCATCTCTCCCCTCTCCATCTCTCCCCCTCTCCCATCTCTCCCCCCCCTCTCCTCATTCTCTTCCCCCTCTCCTCATTCTCTTCCCCCTCTCCTCATTCTCTTCCCCCTCTCCTCATTCTCTCCCCCCTCTCCTCATTCTCTCCCCCTCTCCTCATTCTCTCCCCCCCTCTCCCATTCTCCCCCCCTCTCCCATTCTCTCTCTCTCCCCCCCTCTCCCATTCTCTCCCCCCTCTCCCATTCTCTCCCCCCTCTCCTCATTCTCTCCCCCCTCTCCTCATTCTCTCCCCCCTCTCCCATTCTCTGCTGCTGTGCTGCACTCGCTCCTTGTGGCAGAAGGGGTTGGGGGTCACATGGGACGTGCCTCTCTATGGCGAGCTGCTCAATGTTGCACCGACCAATGCCCATTCTCCTCGTTCTCTCTCTCTCTCCCCTCTCCCGTGCTTCTGTGCTCTGCTGCACTCACTCCCAATTGCAGAAAGGGCTGGGGGTCACATGGGACTTGCCGCTCTATGGTGAGCTGCTGAAGATCGGAGGCGGCAAGGAGCGGTACGCATGGGGCTGCCTGCATTGCATTGCAACGCATTGCGTGCTTTTCCTTCATCCACTTCTTGTGATCGTTAGGACGCGTCACAATTGCAACACCGATCCTGTGAAATATCGCTGTGCACAATCTACAGTGTCTTCGTTATTTCGTGAAAGCTATGTATCCCGTTTTCGTTTAGCTTGTTGCGACAAACGTGCACACGCAAAATTGTCGAGATCGGATAGCTCAAACTGCCACATTGATCGTGCGATTGACAGCGCGGAAATCGAAATCGCGCCACCAGTTCCAGCCACGATTGATCGCAGTCGCAACCTGTCGGCCACTTTCGATGTGGTAACTGGGCGACATCACAAACTGTCGGTGGGCGACATCTGCAAGACACTGGAGCGCCCAAAAATGACCACGAAACATCATCGTACATGCGCGTCGTCACAAGCCATGCAAAACTGTACACCCAGTTGCTAGCGCAGGAGCGATGCACTGCTCCTGCGCTAGCAACTGGGTGTACAGTTGGCATCGAGATCCCCAAATTGCAAATCCGGTCGTGTCCCACTTGGCTCGGGGAAGCAGCCAACACTGCTCCTACAGATTGAAACACGTTTTTCGCAAGTCGATGCACACATTTCCGGTGTTTGACGCCGATCGACTCCGGTGTTGCAATTGTGACGCATCCTTAGCCTTTTGTGAAATCCGCCAGTCCTCGGGGGAGCACCCAACAAGCATTAACATCAATAGAAACAAAAGTCATATTACTTCAAGTACCGGATCATGGCCCACTACTTTGACTCAGTGGGCTGGCTGCAAGCAGCCGCCTCCGCCGACCCCTTGGACCAAGCAGGAACAAGACGGCACTCTTCATTGCTTGCTTGCTTGCATCCCTCTCATCCCTCGGGCTCCCATCCCTGCCAGAATGACCCACTACTCCAATAAAGTGGGCTGGCCCCAGACCACTTTTGAGTCGACTTTTGAGGCGCCTCAAAAGTCTACTTTGACTCAGTGGGCTGGCCGCAGGCTGCTCTCACGGACGCCGTAGGGAACGACCAGCCTTCGTGGCGGGGCTGCACAAGAGCAAGACGGCACTCTTCAACGCGTTCTTGCACCAACCCCCTCATCTCCCACCCTCTCCCTGTACCCTTCCCAGCATGACCCACTATTTCAATCAAGTGGGCTGGCCGCAAGCTGCCCCCACGGACCCCGCAGATCAAGCAGCCTCTGCGGCGGGGCTCCATAAGAGAGCAAGACGGCGCTATTCAATGCCTGCTTGCTTGCATCCCCCTCCCTCTCATCTTTCCCCCCTTTCGTCCCTTCTCAGCATGACCCGCTACTTCAACTCGGTGGGCTGGCCGCAGGCAGCCCCCACGGACCCCGCAGAGCGAGCAGGGCTGCACAAGAGCAAGACGGCGCTCTTCATGCATCCCCCTCTCTCTCACCCCCCACCCAACTCCCCTTCCCCCCTGTACCCTTCCCAGCATGACTCATTACTTCAATCAGGTGGGCTGGCCCCAGCAGCCCCCACGGACCCCGCAGAGCGAGCAACCTTCGTGGCGGGGCTGCATAAGAGCAAGACGGCGCTCTTCATGCAGCTTGTGGAGACGGGCGCGCTGCCGTTGCGACCAGGCGTGGCACGGTGAGTCCAAGTTACTGTGTGGTTGGGTGACTGTGACTGCGATTTCATGACTGTTTCTGTGCGTCTAAGACCACGTGACTTCAAGTCGCTTCCCGTCGTGCAGCTCGTGGAGACGGGTGCGCTGCCCCTGCGACCAGGCGTTGTACGGTGGGTGTGCTTACAGCTGATGTGGGGTGTGACTGTATGTGCAGTGCACTGGGTGTGTGACTGTGTGCCTGTTCAAGTGGTTGCTTTTCATGCATGCAGCTTGAAGTAGCGGCTGCTCTACTCTGCCCCTGTCACCAGGCGTGACACCATGAGTCATAGTGACCGTGGGTGTGACTGTATGTGCTGTGCAGGTACTGTGTGACTGTATGTGCTGTGCAGGTACTGTGTGACTGTATGTGCTGTGCAGGTACTGTGTGACTGTATGTGCTGTGCAGGTACTGTGTGACTGTATGTGCTGTGCAGGTACTGTGTGACTGTGCGTCTATGACAGTGTGGCTGTGGAAATCACTCCTCTTCATGCAGCTCAATGAGACGGGTGCACTGCCGCTGCGATGCAACCGGGTCTTGCACGGTGGGTGTTGTCGTACCTGTATCGTATGTGCACTGCAGGTACTATGTGACCGTGTGAATGTAGCTTTACGGTTGTGTGACTCTCTGAACGCACATACGACTGACTTCTCTTCATGCAGCTTGTGGACACGGGTGCAGGTGCGCTCAGCGGTGCGACCAGGCGGCGCACGCACGGTGAGTCACGGTGACCAGTGGGAGTGCAGTGCAGGTGGGGGGGTGCAGCACGTCCAATGAGAAGGCGGTGGGGGCGCTTGTGAGGTTCATGCTGGGCTGCGGAGCCGATACTTACTGCACCTAAATCAGGGAAATACCCTCTCCTCCTCTCCACTCCCCCTCAGGTTGATTGACGAGGCACCGGCAGTGGGAGTGCAGGTGGCAGTGTGCAGCACATCCTCCCAACGAGCAGCTGGTGGTGCCAATTGTGAGCGGATGATGGGTGCTTACTACAACCTATAGTCGTGCAACTAAGACCAGTGCAAACCAGAGCAGTGCCACCCTCCCCATTTCCCCAGAGCAGTGCCACCCTCCCCATTTCCCCAGAGCAGTGCCACCCTCCCCATTTCCCCAGAGCAGTGCCACCCTCCCCATTTCCCCAGAGCAGTGCCACCCTCCCCATTTCCCCAGAGCAGTGCCACCCTCCCCATTTCCCCAGAGCAGTGCCACCCTCCCCATTTCCCCAGAGCAGTGCCACCCTCCCCATTTCCCCAGAGGCACTGGTTGCAGGCGTGCAGGTGACAGTGTGCAGCACGTCGAACGAGAAGGCGGTGGGGGCGATTGTGAAGGTCATGCTGGGCTGTTGAGCCTCTGCTTACTGCACCTCTCGTCACACAAACCCGCCTCTCCACTCTCCCCTCCTCCCCCAGGCTGATCGACGAGGCACTGGCAGCAGGTGTGCAGGTGGCAGTGTGCAGCACATCCAATGAGAAGGCGGTGGGGGCGATTGTGAGGGTCATGCTGGGCGAGGGGAGGGCGCAGCACATGCGGATATTCGCCGGGGATGTGGTTCCCAAGAAAGAAACCCGACCCGGTGAGGCATGGCCCATGGGGGTGACGCTGACGGGGAAGGGGACACAACACAGCACAGCACAGCACAGCACAGCACAGCACAGCACAGCACAGCACAGCACAGCACAGCATAGCATAGCATAGCACAGCACAGCACAGCACAGCACAGCACAGCACCGCACAGCACAGCACATGTGGTGTGGATATCTGCAGGGGATGTGGTTCCCAAGAAGAAGCCCGACCCGGTGAGCAGAGTGCACACATGCAGAGTGCAGACAGTTGAAACTTGAATGTATCATGTAGAAATGGGGAAGGTGGGGATGGGCGAGGAGCGGGCGCAGCACATGCGGATATTCCCCAGCACGTGCGGATATTCCCCAGCACGTGCGGATATTCCCTGTGGATGTGGTTCCAAAGAAGAAACCCAACACGGTGAGGCATGGCCGCATGGGCTAGGAGGGGATTCTTCATTTGGGAGATTGTTTGTAAGAGGGTCATGATGTTAGAGAGAGACAGAGGGGGGGGTTGCGGGGTGGGGTTTGGGGGGTGGGGGTTGGTGATATTAATACGACAGACCGTTCGAGGGGGGGTTGGGGGGTGGGGGTTGGGGGAGGCTCACATGCGCTTCACGTGCGCTTCACATGCGCTTCACATGCTCTTCACATGCGGATGTTTTCTGGCGGATGTGGTGCTGTGCATAGAACCCCCATGACCCTGATTCCATGCAGCGACCCCCCCCACCATGCTAGGCGATCTACCACCTTGCTGCTGCCACTCTCAATCCCATGCATGCCTCTCCTCTCATGCCTCCAGTGCTCCCCTTTCTCCCCCCTCATGCTTCTCTTGTCGCGCATCAACCCCCCCTATGCAGGCAATCTACAACCTAGCTGCCACCACTCTCAACCTCAATCCTGCACAGTATGCTATGTTCCTTCACCCATGCCCTCGTTGAAATGGGCGCTCCACCAATCGCTCTGCTTCATATTCCCTGTTGGAAGCTGTGTGGTGGTGTTAGAGGTCAATCACATCAGAGAAGAAAAGGGTTCGAACTGCAGCAAGCCGTGAGTCGCTGTAAGAATATTACCCAAACCGCAGCAAGCTGTGGGTCGCATCCGAATTTTGTCTCCAATGCTTCTTGTGTCACCCACTGTGTGCGTCACCCACTGTGTGCATCACCCACTCACTGTGCCGTTTGGAACCATACCGACAGGAAATATCACACTGCAGCTCGGGCCACTATCAGCTTGACTTGCCATGTGCCCTGATGCGCCCCTCAGACCAGATTTTGAGACGTCTCAAAACTTCAGAGTAGTCCAAAACTTGCCATACGCCCTGATTCCCCCCGCCCCGCCCCGCAGACCTATTCTCCGCCCTCGGACCTTTCCATGAACCGCAACGCCTGCCCCCCCCCCATCCACACCCCACCGCCCACGCTTCCCATTCCTACCTATTCCTCTGAGCCGCTTCAAACATCACTGGGGGACACATCATTGGCGGACGCATCATTGGCGGACGCATCATTGGTGGACGCAACGCGATGCATACACGGAATGACATAAATCGTTTCCCATCCCTGCTTCACACCAGCATCCCCCCACCACCAGTCCCATATTCCCTTGTCATCCCCTTCCATCCGCTCCTCCCCACCCCACTGGTAGTCACAGTGCTATGGGGCGCCATATAGGCACACACTCCTCCCTTGTCTTCAGACGGTGTGTCAATATACTGTCACTCACACCTCCCTTGTTCTGCTCCCGGCCATCCTGCCCTCTCAACTGTATGCCCTATCCCACTCGTCTCGCCACTCCCAACCCTCCCCATCAGCTGCTCTCAGTGGCGGAGGTGACTCTGTGGGATGCCATGCCATGGAACCCACCCCTCCTTACCCTCCGTCACTGTGCCCCTGTCAACAAATCTGAACCGCACCCAACCGTCTTCCCTGTCCCCATCAGCTGCTGGCAGCAGACGAGTCAGTGGCGGACGTCACTCTGTGGGTGTCAATATCAACTCCTTTGAACCGCATTCAACCGTTTTGCTCCTCCCCATCAGCTGCTGGCAGCACACCTGTCGGAGGCGGACGTCACTCTGTGGGACGCCATGGAGAGAGCCGCCCGGCCCTCCTTGCCCTCTGTCTGTCACTGTGTCGCTATCAACCCTTCTGGACCACACCCAACCGTTTTGTTTGCAGCTGCTATCAGCAGATGAGTCAGTGGCGGACGTCACTCTGTGGGACGCCATGGAGCGGGCCGCCCAGCCCTTCCCCTCCGTGCCCGCGCCCTCTGTAGCCGCTGCCCCGCAGCCACAGGTGCGCTGCCCCGCAACCACAGGTGCGCTGCCCCGCAGCCACAGGTGCGCTGCCCCCCAGCCACAGGTGCGCTGCCCCGCAACAATCACAGGTGTGTTTTTTAGCCAGCTCAATAGCCGCCTAGCCCTTCTCCGTGCCCGCTCCCTCTGTAACCGCTGCCCTGCACCGCAACCACAGAGCAATCTGCTTGCTGTGCGCTGCTTGCTGTGCACTGCTGTGCTTGTTTTCTGAGTGTTTGAGATCAAATCTTGCAGCCAAGGCCGTCACTAGTCATTCCCGTCCCCATGACCCTTGCATTACTCCTACTCAGGCGAGTGACAGCAGCAGCGTGTGGCCCAACAACGTGGGCGAGCGGGTGTGTATCGTGTCGGGGTTGTCAGGCATTGAGATCATGGACCTGGTGGAGATCATCAGCAGCCTGGGTAAGCTCACTGTCTTGTTTTGTCCTCTTGCTGTCGGGGAGGGCACTCAGCGCAAGGCAATGAGGCCTGTCAGGCATTGAGACCATGGCCCTGGTGGAGATCATCAGCAGCCTCGGTATGCCCATTGTCTTGCCTTCTTGGTTTTTTCTCTCCATGTCTGCGTGTTATCATTGAGATCATGGCCCTGGTGGAAATCACCAGCACTGAGGGTTGTCGGGCAGTGAGGGCTGTCAGGCAGAGAAATCATGGCCGTAGTGGAGATCATCATCAACCTGGGTATGGCAATCGTCTTGTTTTGAGACATCTCAAAACACTTCTTAATTCAGGTGGACATCATCAACAACCTGGGTATGGCAACCGTCTTGTTTTGAGACGTCTCAAAACACTTCTTAATACAGGTGGATAGCATCAACAACCTGGGTATAGCAATCGCCTTGTTTTGAGACGTCTCAAAACACTTCTTAATACAGGTGGACATCATCAACAACCTGGGTATGGCAACCGTCTTGTTTTGAGACGTCTCAAAACACTTCTTAATACAGGTGGACATCATCAACAACCTGGGTATGGCAACCGTCTTGTTTTGAGACGTCTCAAAACACTTCTTAATACAGGTGGATAGCATCAACAACCTGGGTATAGCAACCGTCTTGTTTTGAGACGACTCAAAATACTTCTTAATACAGGTGGACATCATCAACAACCTGGGTATGGCAACCGTCTTGTTTTCTCTCTCGCTTCCTTAAACCGGAAAGGAGGTGTGGGCGAGCGTGTGCCTTTATTGGGATCATGAGCAATTTGGTTATAATCAATGGACGCAACTAGAACCCTCTGGACCCCACTTGACCTTGATCAAATCTCGCCTCTAGTTGTTCTTGACCTCACTGAACGCTGGCTTTGTTCAACTCGAACTGCTTCTAATTAAATTGGTTTGTTCGTTTGTATATTTGATAGAATTGGTTTAACTCAAACCAACCACGGTTAGGGTCGAACCATTCGAGGCGGTTTGATGATCTCCAAGGCATGTGCCATGCCAAGGTCGATCTGGTTAGGTTATGCCTGGGAGCACCTTTTCCCACTAACTCCTTTAATCCATCTCCCGACCCTCCAGACATCCCCCCATGGCCATCGTACATGCAGCCATGGTGCCCAAGTCTGCCACATGTGCCAAGGACTTGTGCTTCTCTCTAATGCTTCCCTACATCTCCCTACCCCTGTCCCCATCCCCCTGCCCCCACAGACATACCCCCCATGGTGTTTGCAGCCATGGTGCCCAAGTCGGCAGCCAGGCCGGTGAGGGAGGTGGTGGAGGATCTCGTGGCGGACCACCGCTTGCTGCACCCAAATTTGAGTCGACCGTGCACTGAGCAGAGAGTTGAGGGAGGTGGTGGAAGATCTCGTGGCGGACCATCGCCTGCTGCACAGCCAGTCTGACTGAGCTGGTCAGACTGATGCAGTCAAGACTGACCGTATGAAAGCTAGAAACAACGACAGAACCGTGGCTTGTGCTAAGTTGCATATATTGTTAGAAGATTAACACAAACTGTTCTCAAGCTTCTGGACCACTTTGCGAGTGACACCCAGCCGATGTAAAAAAGAAATCACACATCAACAGAAAATAGGTACACGATGAAACCCTGGTGCTTGGATTGAAGGCTTCATACAGCGTACAGCTTTGATGCCCATTGTCATTCGCCTAGCTGGGCGCACAGTCCTCCATAGTCGACTGTAACCCCTGCTGGCAAAAAAGGCCCCCTGGGACTTACTTTCATATTCACTGTACAACGTACTGCTACCCTCGCTTTACACCCACGTTCGCCTAGCTGGGCGCAGAGTCCTCCATAGTCAACTAACCTCTGCTGGGAAAGGAGCCCTCCTGGGACTTACTTTCATATTCACTATACAACGTACAGCTACCCTCGCTTTGCACCCACGTCATACCCCTAGCTGGGTGCGCAGTCCTCCATAGTCAACTGTAACCCCTGCTGGCAACACCAGAACCTGCAGGTTGGTGAGGGAGGTCAAGCGGTGCAGCCCATCCGTAGTAACACCAGTGCCAGCCAGACCAAGTTCGCCAAGGCCGCTCAGCTTCCCCACATGCACCATGCCAGCATTCGTGACACCCTTGCACTTGTCAAGCCATACACTCTTGAGAGTTGCAAGAGCTGTCAAGTGCTGCAGGCCAGTGTTTGATACGTTGGTGGAGACGAGAGAGAGGTACTCTAGACTGCTCGCTGCCTTGATGCCTTCCAGGGCAGCATCCGAAACAGATGTGTTCCGCAGGTCTAACTCTGCGAGCCGTGGCAGGCAGAAGAGATAGCTGATGCCCTCTGCAGTGAAGCCGGAGGAGCCGTCTAGGTCAATGGTCTTGAGGTGAGCCATTGTGGACACGTGGGCGAGGATGGCGTCTGAGAGGCACGAGAGTCTCCCAAGGTTCAGATCCATCTCATCTGCTGCTGACTGGATTCTCTGCAGGATGAAATGAAAACCCAGAAGAATACATTGCTTGAACATGTAGTTTCAAGTCAAGTGTGAAACTGAATTTATATTTTCGACCCTGTTCAGCGTCCACAGAGGAATGGTCAGATGCATATTCATGGCCAACTTCTTGTTCCATATCTCGACTCAAAAAGCTCACCTGCCATGTCTCCTTTAGGACGCCTGTACTCTTCCTCACTTCCTTCCCAACATCAACACCACAGCCCTGAACCACAGCCCTTCGCCATAATTTCAACACCTCCAGTTCTTCGCACGCTGCTGCCAGCTCCCTCTCCCTCACTTCCACCCGTCCGCTCAACTCCCTGTACTCTGCTGCTCTCATCCGCTCAGCCTCCTCCAATAGCCCTCTGAGCTCTCTCATATCAACTTCTCTACTCCTCTCCGCCTCTTCCACTTCATGCCTTGTCTCTTCCAAGTGCATACTAAGAATCCTGGTCCGGTCCTTGTGTTCAGCCAAGTCCCCCTTAACCGCTGCCAACTCCCCTTTCACTTCTGTCAACTCCCCTTTCACTTCTGTCAACTCCCCCTTCACTTCTGTCAACTCCCCTTTCACTTCAGTCAACTCCCCTTTCACTTCTGTCAACTCCCCCTTCACTTCAGCCAACTCCCCCTTCACTTCAGCCAACTCCCCCTTCACTTCAGCCAACTCCCCCTTCACTTCTGCCAATTCCCCCTTCACTTCAGCCAACTCCCCCTTCACTTCAGTCAACTCCCCCTTCACTTCCGTCAACTCCCCCTTCACTTCCGTCAACTCCTCCTTCACTTCCGTCAACTCCTCCTTCACTTCTGTCAACTCCCCCTTCACTTCCGTCAACTCCTCCTTCACTTCTGTCAACTCCCCCTTCACTTCTGTCAACTCCCCCTTCACTTCTGTCAACTCCCCCTTCACTTCTGTCAACTCCTCCTTCACCACTGCAAATTCCCCCTCCCTCTCCTCCAGTTGCCTCCTCGTATCACCCAGCTGTGCACCAAGCGCCTGCAATTTCATATCCATCGACTCTTTCAACTTGTCGACTCCCAATAACCGTCCCGGATTGATTTCAACCGCTCCACATGCTCGTTGCAGTTTGATACTGGTGGTAGATACACACGAGAGCGGGGATCGGTCAGTGGAGAGGATTAAAGTGTACAAAAAAGTATATTGCATGTCCGTGGAAAGATGACCGGCAGGCAAGCGGACATGTGAATGCCGTAACGATATGGTTGAAGGGTGTGATGGCACGGGGCTGTGATATGCAAAGTATTATAATAAAGAAGCTGGCAAAAAGCACCCACACTGCTGCTGCAACTACGAATTGCCTGTTCATTGGAGCAACTAGCCAAAAGACTCAAACGAGAGCACCAATTCAAAGCAAAACAGAATATATTGCCAGCAGCAGCACCTACGTGAAGCAAGAATCTAACTGTGAGGGGGTGCAACTCACACAGCTGTGAGACAAATTGGGAGAATTTTGGCTTCCTGGAGTATGGGGCAGGGAGATCAGGGCAGGGAGAGATCAGGAGTATATGGGCAGCAAATGGCAGTAGTATGACGCACTTTCAGATACAGTTGTGAGGGGAAACCCGAGTTCGTGACATTGCAAAACCAGAACTGTGGAAATGAAAATAGCTTGCAGAACCTGCGGCGAGCTTTTGCTCTTTTGCAGCAGAGCATGCGCTTATGATGAAGCCAGTTGGGCACGGTGCTTAAAGGCAATCGATGTGGGACTAGGTCGAGAAGCTTTGAGAACGTGTTGACTGATCGCCTAGAATGGCGAATGTAAGATAATTATTTGCGGCATGGCATACCATGAAAGCCGTAACTCCACTCGCTAGAGTGGAAAAAGTAGCCCTTGAGGACAAGCACTGCTGGCTGATCCACTGCTTGACGTGTGCTGGCGACACACCCATCCACCACAACAGCGCCACGAGACTGGCAAGTGCCAGGTACAATTTAAAGACCTGCGATGGGCAAGGCAATGAGTGTGTATGGTGAACGACCCACGCCTGGTTATAATCCAAGAAACGCGAAAGTAAGAATCCTGATAGCTTTTATACCTAATAAAAAGACCCCCCGTCCCAAAATGCACTCACCAGGTCACAAAATAGGCCAGTAGTCATCTTCATAGCCTTGGGAGGTAGAAAGGTATCGATGTGGGGCACAACAGAACCTTCAAAACAGTTGGCAACAGCATTGCACTGAAATGGCTAACAGCAGGCACATGGGTGCATAAATGGAATAAACAAAAGGGTCGAAAGTGCCCCTCAGCACCATAGATGAGAAGTAAGAGCTGAAGTTGAAGAGAAATATAACATCTAGTTGAAAGAACGCGTTATTGGGCTTACATGAGGGGCGGCTGACGGGGGAAGCATGCGAGGGTGATTCACTTGCAGGCTTCCAATCACATATGGAATCTGCAAGATGCAAGATGGGAGAGCACATGCACACGCATCATGTGATGGAGCATGCCTGCATCAACACATGCAATATGTGATGTGCTGATATGAATGGACCATGCAGTAAAGAAAATCAGTCTACAGCAGCAGATTGGAGACAAAAAACAACACAAGTGCATCGCTTAGTTAGTACCACGTGCGTGCTGGTGGTTTGATTCAGGTTACATACATTCGCAGTGTGGAAGACGGCGTGCAGCATAGATTGTCCAAGTGGCAAAACGATGAATCTGGTGGTGGCAGCACTGACAATCACAGCGACTAGCAGCCCTTTCACAAGGGACAGCATTCTCCCATCCACAGCCAGTTTAATCAGTTGCGTTGACGGGGTAGCCATCAAGCCTTGATCAGCTCGCGAACCCCTGATAATGGAGGGCCAGCAGATGCAAGAGCGAGTCTTGGGAATGATGCGTGCAATTAACACAGGATGGAAATATCAGGGACGAATGCTCCTTGGATGCGGATGGCGAGGGTCGAGACATGGGCGACTTGCAAGAGGTAAGTTAAGACTGGAGAGACTGTAACGGTAGCTGGAAATGCAGCAGGATGAGGTAGAGCAAGGAATTGTTGAGACAGAATGAGAGATATGAGTCACTGCCAAGAAACAAGGAACAATATGAGTAGAGGCAGAAACGAATAATGGGGTCGTGATTCAGAATGGGACCTACAGAACCATGTCTGGACGTGACACAATGGCAGCCAAGCGTTACATGACACCTTACTGTCGGATTGTCCAATTGTGAAAGGGGACAATCTCGTGTCAAAGGCGAAAAACGAAATCGCATGATTGGAGCAAGATAAAAGTGGCCGCAAGAAATGTGCAAAGCGGCAAACAAGAAACGTGCGAAGCTTGGTTGAGCAGCAAGAAGATTGTGTCAAACAAGAAGCCAAGGGCAGAGGAAAAGCAAGCAGTCGCACGAAGTTTGGTGCAGTCGGCGGCAGCTGGGGAACGCGTCCAGGGGAAAGTAGGCATGTGGAGAACCATACCTTGTACCTTGTGAGTACCAACAGACGACGAGCGAAGGAGGCGGCGCCAGGGAGAGGATCTGCGAGCACCAGGGCGCATATTTTGCATTGACTCAAAAGTCGCCAGGGTTAGGATCTGAAAGCTCCAAAGCACCACTTACAAAATCAAAGCACCAGGGTGAAAATCAACGCTTTCCACTTGACATGCCCATCGAGACTTACCTTTTCCTTAGGTTTCTCAAGCTGGAATGAATATGAGGGGCCTTAGAAATCTTTACAAACTAGAAGGCGTGGTGCCGCCAGAAGAGCCTCCGGCACCTTGCTGGGCCTGTAGGGCCAAGATTGGCGAAGTGAGGACACTTTGCCGCAAAAACTGCTGCTTCGTCTCGTCTAACTGAGGGACTGCATCCTCAGTAGCTTAGATAGTAACTGAGCAAAATGAACTGAGGGGGAACGGACGTGACGGTTGGCAACAGAACGAACTCGCCTCGGCTCGCAGCAGGGTGACTCAACCAATCGAGGAAGCTCTATGGTTTCCGGCAACAGCGAGGAGCTGGCGCGGCGCAAAGAACATAGCTGTAAGTGTGCACAGATGTCACCATCATCCGAGAATTTCCCATCAACTGCCATGAGAACCTCGAGCACCATCGGTGCATGCCATGAGAACTGTAAGGGTGCTCTGCATGCTTCCCTTGCTGTGGGAGGCATAATCGTCCATAGTCGCCGCGTGTTGAGGCCTTTCGAGGCAGAAACATTGAGCTGTGCACGTTGCATCGTACCCCTTTCGAAGCTCGCTACCACCCTCGTTTGTCCGCCCAGCTGCGCGTGAAAAGGAGAGACGCGCGCATCGCCAGATGGCTCGCATCTTGATATGTCGTTCAATGTTTCGCCTTGTTGCTTGTTGCATCGGGAAGGTAGCAAAAACGCTCTACGTACTACCCGAGGTTCTGCTCGGCGTTTGAAGAAGTGTTTTGAGACGTCTCAAAACACTTCTTCAAACACGTACTACCCGAGGTTCTGCTCGGCACACAACCTTGCCTCGCGCCTCAGAGCGTTGACATGAAAGGTCCGTTTGAGTGTTGACATGGCTTGTCCGCTCCTGCTATTTCAACTTGCAATATGAATGACACGTAACTAGTCCTGAAGATTGTCTAAGCCTCTAATTCTCGTCTTTGCGAAGCCTCTGCAGGTTCCTTTCCCACGTACTTAATTAGCTAACGCAAGAGACGACGCATAGCAGGCAAGAAATGAACTCGCGTGCACGGACATACGAACTCCAAATTTCTCCAGCTAAGGTGGGGAGAAAGCCGTGGAGGAGCTCTAAAAGACATCGTTGAGCTTCATGCCTGCAATTCGACTTCGCCTCTGGCTTGACCGTTTTCTCTTCTCCGTGCTTCGTGCAGTTAATAAATGGCAGGGCATCTGTGCCTATTCTTCGCGCTTGTATCGGCTGTCGCAAGCTAATTCTCCATGACGGAGGATGCAACATGATGACCTGCAAGTGCGGGGTTACGTTCTGCTTTGTCTGCCTCCAACTTTCCGAGGAGCACAAGGACTCAACCTGCAATCTTGCACCACGCCAGCGATGAGCCTTGCTTGCTGTCCCCCATTCAGTCAGTTGGTAAAAAGGAAACTATACTCCCTAGTTATGGTACACAGCCTATCAGAAAGGGCTTATCGGCAGTCACTATTACAGCACTTGTTTAAATTTTAGGCTTGAAATACACTTTCTATACTACATTTAAATGGGTGAAACAACATATAAATCACTGAAATAGATCACAAATGAAAGTGGATGCAGTTTCCTAATATAGTCGTTTGTTTTTTAAATGTCTATATTTCATCCTGTACTCATTCTTTTACAGCTCATAAAATTTACTGTAACGGTGCTGAGCGCGCAGCTGCGGATTGTATCACTGCTCAGTGCTCACCATCAGCCTGCCTTACCAGTGACCAGCCCCGTCCACTTCGCCGAATCTTCCCCCCACAGCCCGCCACTCGCGCCATGGCTCCCGCCACCGTCATTGCTCCCGCGCTCGCCTTCCACCTCCCCGCCAGCGTCTCCCTTCCCGCGCCATCCCGCACGTCTTCCCCGCGCGCCGCCATCCCAGCTGCAAGCTACCATCGCTGCAGTGTCGCCATTCGCCGTTCGTCTGTTTCGCGATCGCCTCCCGTCGCCAGCAATGCTGCAAAGAGCGTTTTCGCAACGAAAGGTGTTGCGGCGTTGCCAATCGCAGTGCGACGAGGAGCAGCTGGTCCGCCGTCGCCCTCGTCGTTGTCGATGTCGCCCACGTCACCAGCGAGCGGCAGCGCGCGTCGCATCGCGCGGGAAATTGCGGCCCGCGCGAAGCACTCCGTCGTCGCGGCGGCGGCGGGGGATGCGGCGAGACTGCCCGAGGCGCTGTTGTTCGACTGCGACGGCGTTCTAGTGGACACGGAGAGGGACGGCCACCGCGTGTCGTTCAACCAGGCATTTGAGGAGGTGAGAGGCTTGCACAGGAGGAGGGGAGGGCATAGGAGGGGAGAAAGATACGGTCTGTGATGCTGTGGTCACGTGCTGGTGGACATGGAGAGGGACGGCCACTGCGTGTCGTTCAATCAGGCGTTCGAGGAGGTGAGGCGGTGGCATGGGAGGCGGGGAATGGGGAGATACATGTGCTGTGGAACTGTCGTTCAGTGCTGGGAGTGGCACGGCCACTGCATGTCGCTTAACCAGGCATTTGAGGAGGTGAGGGGCTAGGGGGAGCGTGTCGTTCAACCAAGCATTCGAGGAGGTGCGTGGATCGAGGAGTTTGAAGGGGCACATGGGATGTGCCGCTCTACGGCGAGCTGCTCAAGGTTCCACCGCCCAACGCCCCCTCTCCCCATCTCTCACCCCTAAACCATGCTGCTGTGCTGCCCTGCACTTGCTTGCTCCTTGTCACAGAAAGGGCTGGGAGTGACGTGGGACGTGCCGCTTTATGGCGAGCTGCTCAAGATTGGAGGCGGCAAGGAGCGGTACGCATGGCGGCATGGGGCTCTCTCTTTACATTGCATCGCACTGCATCGCATTGCATTGCATCTCCTCTCATGCTCGTGACTGCACGCACTCGAGGCACCGATTTCGAATCCGTAGTCGACCTGTGCCCTTTATTTGTGATGAGCCTCCCATTGTCTCCCCACCCCATCCTTAGTCGCTCCTGCTGGCTGCAGGGGCGTCAACTCGGTGGGGCTCCCCACCCTTCGACGCTCATGCCCCCACCGACCCCGCAGAGCGAGCAGCCTTTGTGGCGACAAGAGCAAGACGGCGCTCTTCAATGCATCCTCACATCCCCCCCACAACACCCCCCCAACCTCCACCAACCCCCGTACCCTTCCCAGCATGGCCCACTACTTCAATCAAGTGGGCTGGCCGCAGGCAGCCCCCACGGTCCCTGTAGAGCGAGCAGCCTTTGTGGCGGGGCTGCACAAGAGCAAGTCATCACCCTTCAATTCAACCTTGCTTGCGTCCCCTTCCCTCTGCTCCCCCCGTACCCTTCCCAGCATGACCCACTACTTCAATCAAGTGGGCTGGCCGCAGGCTGCTCCCACCAACCCCGCAGAGCGAGCAGCATTCGTGGCGGGGCTCCACAAGAGGAAAACGGTGCTCTTCATGCAGCTTGTGGAGACGGGTGCGCTGCCGCTGCGACCAGGCGTCGCACGGTGAGTCTGTGTGGCTGTAACCGTGTGGTTGTGACTGTTATTCTATGACTGTGTGAACGCACAAGCGGTTTCTCTTCATGCAGCTCGTGGAGACGGGTGCGCTGCCACTGCGACCAGGCGTCGCACGGTGAGTCCAAGTTACTGTGTGATTGGGTGACTGTGACTGGGACTGTGATTGGGTGACTGTGACTGGGACTGTGATTCCATGACTGTGACTGTGATTCCATGACTGTTTCTGTGCGCCTAAGACCATGTGACTTCAAGTCGCTTCCCGTCGTGCAGCTCGTGGAGACGGGTGAGATACATCTGTGGATAGATGTATCTCACGGAGACGGGTGTGGCTGTTGTGAGATGGGTCATGCTGCGACTGGCTGTGTGACTGTATGTGCAGTGCAGACGGTGGGTTGCCTATGAAGTTATGCTGGGCTGATGGGAACTTCCTTCTCTCCCTCTCACAGCAGTGCAACCCCGTCCCTCCCTCTCCCCTTTCCCCCCAGGCTGGGCTGCTGAGCTCATACCTACTGCACCTCATGTACACCATAACCCCCCTCTCCCCTTCACCACAACCCCCCTCTCCCCTTCACCACAACCCCCCTCTCCCCTTCACCATAACCCCCCTCTCCCCTTCACCACAACCCCCCTCTCCCCTTCACCACAACCCACCGCTCCCCTTTTTCCTTCTCCCAGGCTGATCGACGAGGCACTGGCAGCAGGTGTGCAGGTGGCAGTGTGCAGCACGTCCAACGAGAAGGCGGTGGGGGCGATTGTGAGGGTCATGCTGGGCGAGGAGCGGGCGCGACACATGCGGATATTCGCGGGGGATGTGGTTCCTAAGAAGAAACCCGACCCGGTGAGCAGAGTGCACACATGCAGAGGGCATGGAACTGGATCGAATGTATCGTGTAGAAATGGATAAGTGGAACTGGGCGAGGAGAGGGCGCAGCACATGCAGATATTTGCCGGGGATGTGGTTCCAAAGAAGACCCGGCCCGGTGAGCAGAGTGCATTCAGTTGAATTGAGTGTGTCGTGTAGAAATGGATAAGGTGAGGATGGGGGAGGAGCGGGCGTAGCACGTGCGGATATTCGTGGGGGACGTGGTTCCAAAGAAGAAGCCCGACCCGGTGAGCAGAGCGCATGCAGTGGGATGTACGAGCAGAGTGCACACATGCCGAGTATTCGCCAAAGTGCAGAGTGAGAGTATACGTCTCAAAACTAGGCATAGTGGCGGGGGACCAAGTGCAGGTATTCGCCGAAGCGAGTTCATGTTAACTGGCCTGCCGTCATTCCCATCATGCTCCTATGACCCATCATGCTCCTATGACCCATCATGCTCCTATAACCCATCATGCTCCTATGACCCATCATGCTCCTATGACCCATACGCTCCTCTTGCCCATCATGCTCCTCTTGCTCCACATCAAACCCCCCCATGCCAGGCAATCTACAACCTAGCGGCCACTACTCTCAACCTCAACCCTGCACGGTATGCTATGTTCCTTCACCCATGCCCTCTTTGTATCAGGCACTCCATCAATCATGCTGTTGCATATCCCCCGGTGGAAGCAGTGTAGTGATAAATAACCCTTAAAGCCTTAAAGCCTCCCCCGATTTTGCAGCTCACAAGCCATGTAGCACCTCGTGTTTTTCCCCTCTTCCCTGCTGGCCTTCCCTTCTGGCCTTCCCTGCTGGCAGCTGTGTGATCATTGAGGACAGCCACATCAACCTCACAGCTGTCAAGGCGGCTTTTGAATCAACTCAAATTCACTTCAGTTGTGCTGTTGTATTTCCCCTGCTGATGTATCCCCTGCTAATTTATCCCCTGCTGGCAGCTGTGTGGTGATAGAGGACAGTCACATCGGCCTGACGGCTGCCAAGGCTGCCGGCATGACCTGTGTTGTCACTAAGAGCGGGTACTGCTGCCCCTTCCCACCCTTTCGCCCTTCTCTCCACCTCCCCCACTCACCTCCTCCTTCCCCCCCAACCCCCTCCCCTCCCGGTTTTTTTTCCTGTTCCCCATGAGACCCGTCCTTCTGCTACAGTGTCGCCTCTTCCTACCCTGATTTCCTCGCTTATCATGTTTGCAACATTCGCACCGACCCCTGCTTTGCATATTGCTCATTGCGTCAGTCAGCCCATTTTGTGAGCTCATCTCACACAGCACACACGCGCTTCTCGGCTTGTGATGTGCTCGTGCATGACATCATCCCCCATCCCCCCCTGCCCGTACCCCACCTGCCCATCCCCCGGCTGCCCAACCCCCATCCCCCCCCCCCCACCCACCCACCAGATACACAGCAGATGAGGACTTCTCAGCGGCCGATGCCGTGCTTGACGCCCGCCAGCTACCCAGGTGACTCAACCCTGTGCTCCTCTGCTGCTGTTTCGCCTACCCACCTTCCCCCACGTGCCCCACATGCCCACCCACCCACCAGATACACAGCAGATGAGGACTTCTCAGCGGCCGATGCTGTGTCTGACGCCATCGGTGACACTCCAGCTGACGGCTTCGACCTCCCCTTCCTCGCCTCGCTGCTGTGACACGCCTCACTACCGCCTGATACCGGTACTCCCGACCTTGCCTGGCTAGAGTTGCCCCTCCTGTCTTGCACCCGAGGCAGGCTGCGCACCGGCTGCCATTCCAGGTGCCTCAGGTCCGGTCCGAACCGAACCAGGGTCCTGCTGATAATTTTGGCCTTGCCTTTTGAGTAGACTCAAAAGCTGCCTTTCTGCCCTGGCGGCTCCAGCCTCACCACTGAGGTAGGCTGTGCTGGGCTGGGCTGGGCTGCTCTGCTCCCAAGAATTCAGTGGGATAGGAGCGTGTTTTCTTTGGCACCCTTCAGCTGCAGCCAGGGAATGCCTGCCTGCCCCCCATATGAACGGTAGCTGCTATCCTGGCCTTGTGGCTGCGATCACATGCTTGACTTGATGTGGCCTGTGGGCCGTGGCTTCACTTCACCTAACCATGTGTTATCAAGTGAAAATATAAAAGGAGCTAGCCACGGTACGGTACGGTACGGAACTAGAGCAACATGGAAGTCATGTATGCTGCAGAAACACAACACATACGGTACTGTTACCAGTGTACCCCTTCTCTCTCTATTATCAACCTCACAAAGCCGTCTTCATCAAGGTTGGTGTTTAGCGCATTGTGCATGATGGAACAACTTGATTGAAAAGCAACACGTTACACATCAACATCCACCTTTCATCGCTTAAAGCCAGGATCTCAAGTAAGAGATATTGAGATCAATTGCAAAACATTTGGCGCTGAGTTACCCAGTTTTTGTAGGCGAAGTAGACTAGATGGCTAGGAAGTTTGGCGTGCGACACTCCCAAGATTTTGCCCCAGCACCAAATGCAAAACAATTTCAGAGACATGAGACTTTCGGCAAATTTCAGGCATTCTAGCTTCGGATCCTAACCAAATTCCATGCCTACGAGGTTCGGACACCCACAAACGATTTCAGTTTCCTTCGCATCCCTCGCTGCACCCCTTGCACCTCGTCAACCAATCGCAGCCGTCTCCAACCATCAACTGCAAAATGTTTGTGGTGGTACTTGAGATCCTGGCTTTAATTATGTGCACAATCAACACTACTGTATCAATTATAAGCGGGGTGTAGTTTTGAGGCGCCTAAAAAATGTATCCATTATAAGCAGGGTGTGTTCAAGCAGACTGAGAACTATCATGTGTTGTAGACAGTCACTAAGGTACAACCATCACCTTGTGAGTACCTCCACCCCTGTCTCCGTTATAAGCAGGGTGTGCTCGAACTGTGCTGTCAAGGTGCCATCTGCAGTGACTGCCGTCCACCCATCGTCCCACATCACATCCCGCACCCCCCCCATCGTGAACATGGGCTCTGCGAAGCAGGGAGAAACGGAACGAAATGGGGGAGAAAAGGGAAACAGGAAAGGGGAGAGGCCGTGAGTCAAGTCGACTGTCAGACTCCAGCCATGACTGCCGTCCACCCATCGCCCCACATCACATCCCGCACCCCCCCATTGTGAACAAGGCGTCTGAGAAGGGGGGGAAAGTGGAGAGGGAGGGAGCAAGGTGAGGGTGGAAGGGGGACAGGCAAGGAGGGGGAAGGGGTGAGAGGAGTGCTGGAACGAGGCTATTACATTGTTGTAATCAGGCGCAAAATGAGTCGACTCTCAAAATTACGGCATCCATGCATGTGAGCGAGCCATGCATGTGAGCGAGCCATGCATGTGAGCGAGCCATGCATGTGAGCGAGCCATGCATGTGAGCGAGCCATGCATGTGAGCGAGCCATGCATGTGAGCGAGCCATGCATGTGAGCGAGCCATGCATGTGAGTGGTGTGTGCCATGCGCATGCATGACTCACCGATGGTGAATGTCTGCCCCACTTGCATGCGCCCTGGCTCGTTGTTGCCTGGTGGTGCAGGGGAGAGGGAGAGAGACGCAGAAAGAAGAGAGGCCAACGGGAGAGAAGCAGAATTGGGAGCAAACGAGGTTTGTGACACAAACACGAGCAACAGACGCAAGGCCAACAAACGTGTCGCATTTGGATGGTGGCAAGAGGGAAGAACGAGATGGGGAAAACAGGGTGTTAGGGGAGCAGGGTGGGAGCAGGGTGGGAGGGGAAAACTCACAATAGTGCAGCACGGCAAAGGCCGGCATTGAAGAACGGGGAGTAGGAAGGAGGGGGGGAGAAAAGGGGAAGAGGGAGAAGTGGAAAGGGGTGCAGGAGGGGGCAGAACTCACGATAGTGCAGCACGGCAGGCCCGGCATGGAAGACGGAGCCCACTCCATGGCCGATGAACTTCCTCACCACACCGTACCCGTGCTTGTCTGCCATAGCGCTGCGAGACAGACAGACGCGACGCACATAGAGTTGAAGAGATTAAGCACAAAGTGGAGAGGCCCTTTTCTCACCACACTGTAGCTGTGCTTGTCTGCCACGGCATTGCGCTGTGGGGCCACTGAGGAGGGAGCATTCAAAGACGGCTGGAATAAACGTGCGCACGACACCGTGCCCATGTGTGCGCAGCGAAGGAGTGACACGAGAAAGCACACTGCATTGGGAGGCGAGGCACGATCGTGTTCCACAGCACAGCAGCAGTTCATGTGGCCGCAAGAATGGAGCACTGCAGCACGGCATGTTAGACGGGACACCAACTAGCATACTCAATGGCGATGGCACGATATGCTTGGGTGGAGGAGGAAGGGAGGGAAAGGGGGGGTGAGGATTGTGGCAATGTGGCCCTGCTTCCTGAATGGCTTCGCCAATCTTTTTGAGACGTCTCAAAAAGGTTCGGATTGGAGACATCTCAAAAGAAGGGTGGGAGAGGGGGGGTGAGGATGGTGGCAGTGTGGCCACAGTGCCACGAGCTTACTGAATGGCTTGGCCGATCTTCTTAAACTCCGCATCCGGCCCACAGACTGCAATGGCTGCATTCAGTGCTTCTTCTGTCACCTGGTGCCCGCAATCAAACACAGCACCCACACACCCATACACACACTCTCACGCGCACGCACACCAACATGCGCGCGCGCACACACACAGAGACACACACACAGACACACACACAGACACACACACACACACACACACACGCACACACACACACACGCACACACACACGCACACGCACACACACACGCACGCACGCACGCACGCACGCACGCACGCACGCACGCACGCACGCACGCACGCATGCACGCACGCACGCACGCACGCACGCACGCACGCATGCACGCACACGTGGTGGGGATGGAAGAGTACACCACAAAGATGCAGTCGCACAAGTCCGACCGAGCCCTGGGTAACAGGATCAACGTTTGCCACGCGTTTCTTTCCAGCATTTGTGTGTTTCGCGCAATGTCAAGTCACCATGTCGGTGTACTGACAGAGCCACATCGATCGTCAAAACCGCCGTGGTCAGGTTTGCTGTAGACTCAACTCGCCACCCTTGACGAAACCTGGTAACAGGGTAAATTACGATGATACAGTTGTTTCGTCCCCTCCCCATATCGATCCTCGACAGCCAGGACTGAACATAGGTGACGCGTCCTTACACCCACACTCCCTCATCCCCACTCCCTCACACCCACACTCCCTCATCCCCACACTCCCTCGCCCTCACACTCCCTCGCCCTCACACTCCCTCGCCCCCACACCCATCACCTCCACAACCCCTCACCTCCACAACCCCTCACCTCCACAACCCCTCACCTACACACCCCCTCACCCCCACACGCACTCACCTCAACACTCTCTCACCCCCACACCCCCTCACCTCCACACCCATTCATCCCCACAACCCCTCACCTCCACGAGCTTTGTGGCAGCTTTAGAGACATTGCCGCAGAAGAATGTCTTGGAGGTGTCTCCGTGGTAGCCCTGCAAAAGAGAGAGAGTGGGAGGGGGGACATGGAGAGAGTAGAAGTGTGAGGGCCTTCAGCATGTGCCTGAGAGAGAGAATGAGTTGGTCTTTGGTATGCGTGTCTCGTGCTGGCTCACTTGCCTTGCCATAGATTTGCTTTGGCTACCCATTGTTGCTGTACCTTTAACAATATTCAATGATAAGGACCGTTAGATAGAAAGGGACAAGGATGAGGTGAGAGCAAATGGGCAGGAGCGATTTGGGTGGAGAAATGATGAATAGTGGGGTGGAATGCGAGAGACGGTGGAAGAGGGGGATTGTGGGCGGGGAAGAGAAAGGGCAGGAGGAAAAAAGCATGGGCAAGGCTTGGAGTAAGATTGAAGCAGGGGAGGTGGGGGGAAAAGGGATACCATGGGAGAGGAGACATTATTCAAGAAGAAAGGGCTCACATTAAGGTAGACTGTGACGTCGATGTTGATAATGTCTCCATCCTGGTGGGGTGGGGCGGGCAACATTGCAGCACAGAAGCAGCGGAGAATACAAAAATCAGCAGAGGGAACGAGGGGGTAAGAAAGTTAAGTTACAGAGTGATTGGTGGTGGTACGTCAAGGCACACTGTCATGTCAATGCTGATCAACCAGGATGGGGACTTCTTAAGACATCCTGGTTAAGAGAGAGGCGATGGGTGACACAAGCAGCGCCAAACAATACAAGGATAGCGTTTTGACATCCTTGTATTGTTTCCCAAGTCTGTGTGCACGTCCGTCAACACCCAACTTGGGAAAGCTCGCAAAGTTGAGCGGGGAGGGGTATGCTATGCGCCTGCCAGCTGTGATGAGGTTGTTTTTGAGACGTCTCAAAAACAACCTCATCACACGTGGTATGCTATGCGCCTGCCAGCCAGCAACGCACTCTCTAACTTGACACATGCAAGCCTGCTGCTGCCTGCTTACCTCCAGTGGCCGCCAGTCGGGGATGCAGTGGCAGATGCACTTGCTGACGGACGTGCACACAGATTGGGAAAGCCCGCGTAGTTGAGGGGTGAGGGGTATGCGCCCGCCTCAAGGTAGGCCCTCCCTTTCTTGAGACTTGACACACGCAATGCAAGCCTACTACCCACCTCCAGAGGCCGCGAGTCGGGGATCCCGTGGCAGATGCACTCGTTGACAGATGTGAACACAGAC